CCTGATGAGATATTTGCCAGAGTATTAAAGGAATGTAAGGAAGAGCTAAGTATGCCCTTAGCAAAGTTGTTTAACATGTCATTAAAAATAGGTGTAGTATCAGAATCCTGGAGGATAGCAAATGTAATACTGATTTTCAAGAAGGGAGATACCTGTAGATCACTTTCCTCTTACTACCGTCCAATCAGTCTAACATCAATTGTAGGCAAATTACTGGAAGCAATCTATTCAAACTCTATTCGAAATCACCTGGAGAAGCACAAGTTGATCATTGATTCCCAACATGGCTTCACAAGCGGGCGTTCATGTCTAACTAATCTATTGACATTCTTTTCATCAGTTTTCGAATCAGTGAACGAGGGCCACAATTATGATGTGGTATATCTCGACTTTAGCAAAGCCTTTGACAGTCCCGCACGAAAGACTAATAAGAAAAGTGGAGGCTCATGGTATTAAAGGTGATATTCTAAAATGGATTAGGGTGTGGTTACAGGACAGTCACTAGTGGAGTTCCCCAAGGCTCAGTACTTGGACCATTATTATTTATTATATACATAAACGACATAGATATCAGCGTAGACAGCAACATAAGTAAATTTGCTGATGACACTAAAATAGGACGTGTAATTAAACCTGACGAGGACTTCGCAAAACTACAGGAAGATCTAAAAAAAATTTTTTAGAATGGTCTGAAAAATGGCAGATGAAATTCAATGTGGACAAATGTAAAGTACTTGGTATAGGAGATGTAAACAGGGAAACCAGATACCCTACGAACAACGATGTTATTGAGAAATCCGACTGCGAGAGACATTTAGGAGTAATGATGAGTAGGAATCTTAAGCCAAGTAAACAATGTGTATTTGCTCGAAACAAGGCTAATAAAGTACTTGGGTTCAAACAAAGGAGTGTTAGTTACAAGACTAGCGAAGTCATCTTAAAGCTATATCTTGCGCTTGTGAGACCTCACTTGGATTACGCAGTTCAATTCTGGCCACCGTATTACAAAATGGATATAGAATCCTTGGAAACAATTCAGAGGAGAATAACAAGACAAATCCTGGGTATTAGGAACCTTGAGTACAGAGGCAGGTTAAAGCATCTTAATTTGCACTCCCTTGAGAGACGTAGAGTGAGGGGCGACATGGTAGAGGTGTATAAATGGAAGTCAGGGCTAAACAAAGGGGACATTACAAAGGTATTCTAACTATCCAACCAGGAGTGAACTCGTAATATTGGTTTTAAATTAGACAGATTTAGATTTAGCGCAAAATAGGTAAACATTGGTTTGGAAATAGAGTAGTGGATGAGCGGAACAAGTTACCAAATATCATCATTAATTCGAATACCCTGGATAGCTTCAAACAAATGTTGGATGGATATATGAGCAATAGGGGTTGGGTGTAAATGGGACTGCCCAGTATGGGCTAATAGGCCCACTGCAGTTTCCTCCATTCTTGTGTTCTTATGTAACTACCACCACAGTTCAGGGGAATATAAACAACCACCACCACAGTTCAGGGGAATATATACAACCACAGTTCAGGGGGATACATACAACCATAACAGTTCAGGGGAATATATACAACCGCTACCACAGTTCAGGGGAATATATACAATCACAACCACAGTTCAGGGGAATATAAACAATCACCACCACAGTTCAGGGGTATATATACAATCGCCACCACAGTTCAGGGGGATATATACAATCACCACCACAGTTCAGGGGGATATAAACAACCACCACCACAGTTCAGGGGAATATATACAACCACAGTTCAGGGGGATACATACAACCATAACAGTTCAGGGGAATATATACAACCGCTACCACAGTTCAGGGGAATATATACAATCACAACCACAGTTCAGGGGAATATAAACAATCACCACCACAGTTCAGGGGTATATATACAATCGCCACCACAGTTCAGGGGGATATATACAATCACCACCACAGTTCAGGGGGATATAAACAACCACCACCACAGTTCAGGGGAATATATACCACCACCACAGTTCAGGGGATATATACAACTACTACCATTACATTTCTGGGAGATATATACAACCACCACCACCACACAGTTCAAGATATATACAACCACCACCACAGTTCAGAGATATATACAACCACCACCACAGTTTGGGAGATATATACAACCACCACCACAGTTCAGGGAGATATATACAACCACCACCACAGTTCGGGGGATATATACAACTACTACCATTACATTTCTGGGAGATATATACAACCACCACCACAGTTCACCACACACCACAGTTCAGGGGATAAATACAACTACTACCATACAGCACCACTAGGAGATATACAACCACCACCACAGTTCAGGGAGATATAGCACACCACCACAGTTCAGGGAGATTTATACAACCACCACCACAGTTCAGTTCAGGGAGATTTATACAACCACACCACAGTTCAGGGGATATATACAACCACCACCACAGTTCAGGGAGATATATACAACCACCACCACAGTTAGGGATATATACAACCACCACCACAGGGGAGATATATACAACCACCACCACAGTTCAGGGAGATATACAACCACCACCACAGTTTAGGGAGAGATATATACAACCACCACCACAGTTCAGGGAGATATATATACAACCACCACCACAGTTCAGGGAGATATATGCAACCACCACCACAGTTCAGGGAGAGATATACAACCACCACCACAGTTTGGGGATATATACAACCACCACCACAGTTTAGGGAGATATATACAACCACCACCACAGTTTAGGGGATATATACAACCACCACCACAGTTTAGGGGGATATATACAACCACCACCACAAGTTCAGGGGATATATATACAGCCACCACCACCACAGTTCAGGGGATATATACAACCACCACCACAGTTCAGGATATATACAACCACCACCACAGTTTAGGGGGATATGTTCAGGGATATATACAACCACCACCACTTCACCAGTTCAGGGGATATATACAACCACCACCACAGTTCAGGGGGATATATACAACCACCACCACTATATATACAACCACCACCACAGTTCAGGGGGGATATATACAACCACCATCACAGTTCAGGGAGATATATACAACCACCACCACTACAGTTCAGGGGATATATACAACCACCACCACAGTTCAGGGGATATATACAACCACCCACCACAGTTCAGGGGGATATATACAACCACCACCACCACAGTTCAGGGGGATATATACAACCACCACCACCACAGTTCAGGGGGATATATACAACCACCACCACCACCACAGTTCAGGGGGGTATATACAACCACCACCACCACAGTTCAGGGAGATATATACAACCACCATCACCACCACAGTACAGTATACGACTAACCTACCATACTTTATTTACATAATCCTGAGAAAAACAAAACAAATAGTTCACATCTGGGATCCACCATGACGCCTACATCTGCAAGTCTTACACGTATAGTCACGGTATAAAGTGTCCTAGTCAGGTCCTGTGTCTCTCCATGAACCCCGAGACATGACACAGCGCCGTCTATAGGGTCAACAATGTGTGATGTGTAGCGAGTTTAACAAGAAAGAAGGTAGGTAGGTAGGGTGGGATTTTCAAACAATGATGGGAGGGGGAGAGAGAAAGAATGGGGTAGGTACAAGGGAAAGAAGTGTAGCTGGAAAGAGTGACAAATATGAGGAGGAAACGAGAGAAGAGATACAAAACTAAGGAAGGGAGATAATTATGTGCATGTATTGAATATATATAAAGGGAGGGAGATGAGAATCATGAGATTGAGTTATCATGTTAAACAAAAATATCCTGTTTAATGAGGATACATCAGGGTTATGATAGGAAAACATTGATAATTGAAAGGAGATAGTGAGATAATTGTTGAACGTAGAAAAGATAGAGTGAGCTTAATCTGGGTAACCTACGTTTTAAGAGATAGAGGTTTAATTACAGCTCAGAGTCACGAAGGATGTACGATAAAAGATGTCAGAATACAAATAACTGACTTAATTATGAAATACAAAATTAACTCCAAATTACTGTATATTGAAAATCTACCTAAACTAGATAACTTTAATATAACTCAACCTTATATTCTAACTGGAGCTGGCGAACGTACTGTACCTAACTAGTTGAGACAGAAGATTCAAATTTTGGTGTTCATTATACAATTAATGAGGATTGTTCACTACGACTTTTTGTGAAACTTGTCTCACTACTTTATCTAGTTCAGATTAAACAAGTCGTTTAGTGTTTATCGGTTAGGACAAGAAGTTTGTGTCGTTAGTCGGTTAGGAAACTGTTGAAATATGTCGCTTTAGATAAAATGTCCAGTGATAAATTCTGGGTTGCTCTCTCTCCATCTCTCTCTCTCTGCTTTAATTATTTGTGTGTGTAGTGGAGGATGTGTGGTGGTGGTTTGTTGTGTAGTGGAGGATGTGTGGTGGTTTGTTGTGTAGTGGGGGATGTGTGGTGGTTTGTTGTGTAGTGGAGGATGTGTGGTGGTTTGTTGTGTAGTGGAGGATGTGTGGTGGTTTGTTGTGTAGTGGAGGATGTGTGGTGGTTTGTTGTGTAGTGGAGGATGTGTGGTGGTTTGTTGTGTAGTGGAGGATGTGTGGTGGTTTGTTGTGTAGTGGAGGATGTGTGGTGGTGGTTTGTTGTGTAGTGGAGGATGTGTGGTGGTTTGTTGTGTAGTGGAGGATGTGTGGTGGTTTGTTGTGTAGTGGAGGATGTGTGGTGGTTTGTTGTGTAGTGGAGGATGTGTGGTGGTTTGTTGTGTGGTGGTGGATGCGTGGTAGTGGATGTGTGGTGGTGCAAGTGTGGTAGTGGATGTGATGAAGGCGTCACTGGACAGTTGACCAACCGAGTTATCTCGTCCTGGCATCCGTCGCGTCTTTTCCCTCGTCACAAGGTGGGGATGTGGGGGGGACTTGGGGAACTTGTCGGAGGGGGTTGTGTTTGGATGGGGGAGGTTAGTGAAGACTCCAGAGCGGGGGAAATGCGCCATGTTTAATTGGCCCAGAAACTTGGAGCGGAGTAGAGCTGTCTGTCTTGTCAGGTCAGTTTTTTCCCTCTTGGGTGTTCTATTGTATTTATTCTTATTTATTTCGTGTTTTTGTGTGTGTGTGTGTGTGTGTTTTTTTTTTATATCTTTCAAGACTTTAATGCTGCCGAATGAACTGTTTTGTACACACTTCAGAAAGGTGGAAGACCCAGAGCCGTTGCCTGTCCTTAAGAATAGCGAGGATTGGTTTGTACACCAGTAGTAACTTGTAGATTGTTTGTACACCAGTAGTAACTTGTAGATTGTTTGTACACCAGTAGTAACTTGTAGATTGTTTGTACACCAGTAGTAACTTGTAGATTGTTTGTACACCAGTAGTAACTTGTAGATTGTTTGTACACCAGTAGTAACCTGTAGATTGTTTGTACATCAGTAGTAACTTGTAGATTGTTTGTACACCAGTAGTAAATTGTTTGTACACCAGTAGTAACTTGTAGATTGTTTGTACACCAGTAGTAACTTGTAGATTGTTTGTACACCAGTAGTAACTTGTAGATTGTTTGTACATCAGTAGTAACTTGTAGATTGTTTGTACACCAGTAGTAACTTGTAGATTGTTTGTACACCAGTAGTAACTTGTAGATTGTTTGTACACCAGTAGTAACTTGTAGATTGTTTGTACATCAGTAGTAACTTGTAGATTGTTTGTACACCAGTAGTAACTTGTAGATTGTTTAGATTGTTTGTACACCAGTAGTAACATGTTTGTACTAACTTGTAGATTGTTTGTACACCAGTAGTAACTTGTAGATTGTTTGTACACCAGTAGTAACTTGTAGATTGTTTGTACACCAGTAGTAACTTGTAGATTGTTTGTACACCAGTAGTAACTTGTAGATTGTTTGTACACCAGTAGTAACCTGTAGATTGTTTGTACATCAGTAGTAACTTGTAGATTGTTTGTACACCAGTAGTAACTTGTAGATTGTTTGTACACCAGTAGTAACTTGTAGATTGTTTGTACACCAGTAGTAACTTGTAGATTGTTTGTACACCAGTAGTAACTTGTAGATTGTTTGTACACCAGTAGTAACTTGTAGACTGTTTGTACACCAGTAGTAACCTGTAGATTGTTTGTACACCAGTAGTAACTTGTAGATTGTTTGTACACCAGTAGTAACTTGTAGATTGTTTGTACACCAGTAGTAACTTGTAGATTGTTTGTACACCAGTAGTAACTTGTATTGTTTGTACACCAGTAGTAACCTGTAGATTGTTTGTACACCAGTAGTAACTTGTAGATTGTTTGTACACCAGTAGTAACTTGTAGATTGTTTGTACACCAGTAGTAACCTGTAGATTGTTTGTACACCAGTAGTAACTTGTAGATTGTTTGTACACCAGTAGTAACTTGTAGATTGTTTGTACATCAGTAGTAACCTGTAGATTGTACATCAGTAGTAACATCAGTAGTAACTTGTAGATTGTTTGTACACCAGTAGTAACCTGTAGATTGTTTGTACATCAGTAGTAACTTGTAGATTGTTTGTACACCAGTAGTAACTTGTAGATTGTTTGTACACCAGTAGTAACTTGTAGATTGTTTGTTCACCAGTAGTAACTTGTAGATTGTTTGTACATCAGTAGTAACTTATAGATTGTTTGTACACCAATCAGGAGCGTCATCCCTCCTCCCCTAAGACCTGGCTTACCCCCTAAGACCTGGCTTGCCCCTCTCCAAGGAAAATTGTAATTAGTGTTATGCCGAGTCATAATTTCGTATTATAATCTCGTAAACTAGGTGTTTTGATTGTTTTCTGTCCCATGTGGCAGTTATTTTGGGTAAATTTAATGAAATTTTCGTCTATAGATGATATTGATGTATTAATTATTTAAGAATATTCTAGAATGTATTGCATAATTTTTTTGGTCCGATTTACTTATTGTAAGCCTTGATCAGAGTAGAACGTTCTAGAATCTTCCAGGCGTCTCTGGGTGATTCTAGGATCGATGTTCGAGAAGCGTCTGACGAGGCGTATAAAAACTGGGCGGGCTGCCTAGGGGCAGTTGGTAAAAAAAAAAAGTATAATAATCAGCACTATATAAAGAAACCAATACTAATACAAAGGTCTGACGACCCAATGGAGCAAAATAAAGATAAAAAAAACAAATAAACAGAAAAGATGAAGCGGCCTGGTTGAGCCCAGATTCTTTCTACTCCTACTGTATTTCAGTTTCATCACTTTTTTCAATCCTTAATAATCTCCTTTCACCTCATAACTCATGACTCCAAAGCCAAGTGGCAGTTAGTCGCTTGCCTCACTTCCTGGTGTAAAGACTAAGCCCAGCAGAACAACTGAAGACAATTGTTGTGATAGTATTGTGGAACTGTTGTGATTAATATAAAGTGAGATGACTAAGGAATTGTAAACTGGCAGCGTGATAACTACAGTATATATTCGAAGTGTGGAGTCAAGCTGTGAAGCCATTACCCTGTTACAGTGTTGTGAAGAATTGCTGTTTATTAAGGAAGACTACAGTACACAAAAGTGTTTCTGTGACCTGGTGGAAATCTACCTACCTGTTGTTTGTCTGTTCACTGAAACCGATAGTCGGGGAATTACCGGAGACTAACGGGACAGCCAGTGGTAATTCGACTACTCTTGTGCGATATCTACTGCTTCTGTACATACGACCCTGGCCGCTGGTAACCAGTGGTGGAAGCTGGGTAAGCGGTGAAAAGGTCGTACATTATATTCCTTTTTCATTTTGACGAATTTGAATTTGGTGAGAACTCAATGGTATTTTTACTATGCATAATTAAACAAAATGACGAGTATTCATCTATTTCATCATTCCCATTGCCTATCATTTATAAACTGAATAGCATCAAGGAAGGCAGTAAGTTATATTTCTAGCAGCCACACAGTTCACACCGGGCAGATGCAAATTGAAAATATAAAACGTGTTGGGACGTGTTCCGCCTGTTACTGCACCTCCCGGCGGCACCACGGTGGAGCAGGATTTTGACCCCTACTCTTTGCATGTAATGATGTTGTCCCCTCTAAGCAAAATCTGAAATGACGCTCTTGACACCAGTAGCTTGTAGATTGTTTGTACACCAGTCAGAGTATCGTACTCATATCTGAGGGTTGGCGACCACAGTCCTCCACTCTAAATGTTCTGGGGCTGTTTTTACCATTCCTACAAGGTTTTGTATCTCCGGGGACCCAGTTTTTAATTTCATTCATCCATCCAGTCTCTGCCTTCCCCTGGCCCTCCTACCCTCAACTATGCCCATTAATATTTCTATTATCCCCCTCATTCCTAATTGGTTCCATGACAAAACCCCAACGGGGTTGTCATTTGTCAACACAAACCTAACCTAACTTAAACATAAAAGTGTTTTATTTTATATTTTATACATGAGACTGGGGTTTTGTCCGTTGGGGTTTTATCCGGTCACCTTCCTAATTATATGAGCAACTTATCTCAATTTTCTATTTTCTGTAAATTTCAAGTATTTCTCTTATTTTTTTTTGTTAATCTTAGAACTTCATTTGTTTTCCTGTCAGTGAAGCTTATTCTTAGCATTCGCCTATAACACCACATTTCAAAGGCCCTTAATCTGAGTAATCTCTTTCTGGTGTCTGCTGAGTGTTTACGCTTCCTATCCATACATCAGTCCTTAGTATAAAAAGCCTTTTTCTCAAGTTGAAGTTATTGTCCCTTTGTATCAGGTATTTTAGATTACTGAATGCTATTTTCCTTGCCCTATTCATGTTATATCTCCATACATCCACCATCACAGATGATGTTAACTTCCCAACTACACTAAATTTTCCACTTGTTTAAGTTCGCTGTTGCTTACCATATTTTTGAGTTTAGGATTTATTTCCAACTTGGAAACAACCATTACTTTAGTCTTTGCAGCATTAACTCTTAAACCATATTTTTCACCTCTTTCCACTAATCTATTAACGGGTACACCAGTAGTAACTTGTAAATTGTTTGTATAGCAGTAGCTTGTAAATTATTTGTAAACTGAGGTTAAATGTGAAAAGGACCTGAAATTCTCGGACCACATGTATTGTGACAAAAGTTAGGTCAAGTAAATAAATGATCGTTCACACACTTACAGTATATACTGTAGATGGTCCGCCCCTCATAACGTTCTTCAACAGTGAGATCCCCGCCATGAGTGCTGTCATCCTGCTTGGTCCCCAAGATATGTTGGGAGACTGTTAGTAGTTGTAGAGCGTTCATAATGATAAGGGAGCCACCACTCCAGACTGTTGCCTGCACTACGGTACATCAGGTATACTTTAGCCTGAGAAATTAGAACGCCTGCAGTTGCCTATCTATACTATAGATGGGTTATTGGTGACTTAACAGAAGTTTATAAGCACCACAGAGAACATATCTCAGTCGAGTGTTCATATCTGGAACTAGCGGATGCCTGCCCCACTAAAGGTCACTTCAGGTTAAAGAAACCACACACAGAGAACTGTCAGAGCGAACTTCTTTGTATTAAGAGCTGTAAGCTTTTGGAATAACCAACCAGGGAGTTGTGTCGCCACCAAGTGAGTTCAGCAGATTTAACCAACACCGATGCAGGTTCAGATACATTCTAGAGCCAGTACTTGCCTACAGTTCGTAACACAGACGTGACCGATTGCCCATTGAGTAACAGGCCGATCAGTGGCGAAGAGGATAAAATAAGTAAAGTAGCTTGTACTGTACTTGGGTTGCAGTAACCATCATCACGAAGTACGGTCTCACCCAAAAGTTCGATAACTCTCCCAGCCAGCAATTGCTGCACTGCCTGCTTCAGATGTTTGAAACTGTCTCAGTACAAACCAGAACATGAAACCAATAAGAATGAATCTAAAGGTTCGAAGTAACAGATTCAAGTTAATATTACCAATCGTTTATTACGATTTTCTATATATATATATATATATATATATATATATATATATATATATATATATATATATATATATATATATATATATATATATATATATATATATATATATAGATAGATAGTTTATGCATGAAGATGATTAACAGCTGGGTGACGGATGGATAGGGATAAGAGAGATAACTCGTGACATCCTGGGGCTCTGTTACTCTCTTGTAAAGATCTAACCTAACATTCCAAGTTAACCTAATAATGTGACCTTACTTGACCCAATAATCTAATCAAACCTAATTTAAACAGTCAATCTAACGAACCAACACAAATCTAACAGCCCAATTTAACCTGAAGGGTTTAACTCTGCAATATTGGGAAAGCTTTCTCCGCTTAACAGCTTCTATGGGGAAACACTCATCCTATCATTAAAAGTGGTCTGATATGTGGAAAGAAATCCTCGCGGGCGCAAGGTAGTGCAACGGTGAGTATCTGTCTTATCGTTAACATTCCTATTGTTATTCCAGTACCTGTGCCACCAGTCATGGTCATTCTGGGTTGCTGGTCAGTACCTAATCTGAACTTGGGTGGCTGGTCAGTACCTGACCTTACCTTGGAATGTTGGTCAGTTCCTGACCTTGGGTGGCTGGTCAGGACCTGACCCTGGATTGCTGGTCAGTACCTAACCTGACCTAGGGTGGCTGGTTAGGGCTGGTCAGTACCTGAACTGACCTTGGGTGGCTGGTCAGTACCTGACCTGACCTTGGGTGACTGGTCAGTTACCTGACCTGACCTTGGATTGCTAGTCAGTACCTGACCTGATCTTTAGTGGCTGGTCAGCACCTGACCTGACCTTGGGTGGCTGGTCAGTACCTATCCTGACCTGACCTTGGGTGGCTGGTCAGTACCTATCCTGACCTGACCTTGGGTGACTGGTCAGTACCTATCCTGACCTGACCTTGGGTGGCTGGTCAGTACCTGACCTGACCTTGGGTGGCTGGTCGGTACCTAACCTGACCTGACCTTGGGTGGCTGGTCAGTAACTGACCTTGGATTGCTGGTCAGTACCTGACCATGGATTGCTGGTCAGTACCAGACCTGGCCTTGGGTGGCTGGTCAGTATTTGTCCTGACCTTGGGTGACTGGTCAGTACCTGACCTGACCTTGGGTGGCTGGCTTAATTACCTGACCTGACCTTGGGTAGCTTTTAGTACCTAACCTTACCTTGGGTGGCTGGTCAGTACCTGACCTGACCTTGGGTGGCTGGTCAGTACCTGACCTTACCTTGGGTGGCTGGTCAGTACCTGACCTTGGGTGGCTGGTCAGTACCTAACCTGACCTGACCTTGGGTGGCTGGTCAGTACCTAACCTGACCTGACCTTGGGTAGCTTTTAGTACCTAACCTTACCTTGGGTGGCTGGTCAGTACCTGACCTGACCTTGGGTGGCTGGTCAGTACCTGACCTGATCTTGGGTGGCTGGTCAGTACCTGACCTTGGGTGGCTGGTCAGTACCTAACCTGACCTGACCTTGGGTGGCTGGTCAGTACCTAACCTGACCTGACCTTGGGTGGCTGGTCAGTACCTGACCTGACCTTGGGTGGCTGGTCAGTACCTGACCTGACCTTGGATTGCTGGTCATGACCTGACCTGACCTTGGGTAACTGGTGAGTACCTGACCTGACCTTGGGTGACTGGTGAGTACCTGACCTGACCTTGGGTAACTGGTCAGTACCTGACCTGACCTTGGGTGGCTGGTCAGTACCTGATCTGACCTTGGATTGCTGGTCAGTACCTGACCTGACCTTGGATTGCTGGTCATGACCTGACCTTGGGTGACTGGTCAGGACCCCAACTTGACCTTGGGTGGCTGATCAGAACCTGACCTTGGGTGTCTAGGAGAGATGAATTGGTTGTTATCTGTTTATCAGTCTACAGTATCTATCTGTCCAACTCTTGGGGAATACATTCTCAATAATAATAAAAATTGTCGGCTCAAGGGGATGGCTTAACCCCCCCCTCCCCAGCCAGATATGCCTATGTGTTGATATTAAATCTGTTACTGTACATCCTTGAATATGTTATTTATAACCACGACAAATGTCCTTAAATTGAACACTGAAAGTTGAAAATATTGATAAATAAAATTCAGACAATTAATATACAGAGCAAAACTATGACGACTGGAGACTCAGGACCTAATACCAGGCCTTGGGTCAGCTTTAGCATTTTGAGGATACTGAGGGAATGTATCTATGAGCCACCCCCTTCAAGGTAATCTTAGTTATGAGATCTCTTCTCCCTCCTACTAGAATCTCTCTCTCACATCATAACTGTTTGATAAGCAACATCATAACTGTTTGATAAGCAACAGATCAATAACCATTTGGGAGATGATCAACAGATTAATAGATATCATAATTTTGTTTGGTACCTTCAAAGCTTTGTCACCAACATTTCTTATGCATCAAAATCCCCAATTAAGTCATCACATGACTGCTACTCTCCGAGCTCATGGTTGGTGCTGATTATGGTGAACAAATTCAGGTAAGCATTAGTTGTTGATGATCTCTGGTATATATTGATGAGGTTTAACTTGAAGAAGTTCCTCTGTGCAGCAGCCACTGTCACTGGGAGTGTTTCTCACTGTAACACAGAGGTATGGATATTGTTTGTTTAGCTATTTCATGATTAAAAGAGAGGATATTTCTTCCAGTGCTGTCATGTTCTGTGATGGCAAATTTTTAATTTCTAATATGAGTTGCTTTTCATCAATATCTGATTCACCATCAGAGTTGAGAGTGTTCTTAAGTCTTTGTACTGTTCGTTAGTGACTCAATAGACTTGTCCTGTATTTTGTTGAGGTTTAGCCTTACCTGATCCAGTGTTGTGAATCTGCCCTCTAGAGAAGGCCCAGACCCAGGGGGCTGGGGGGCATGTGCCTCCCTAGACACAGGCAAATGTGCCCTTGTGACTCTGAAACATAGTTCTGTATACAAGGGCCTGACAGTATTATTTTATGGTCCACATAATTTAAACATCCAGGTACCATTGAGGATAGATAGTATAATTTACTGTCTATCCTCAAGCCAAATATGTACCTACAAGGAGCTTTACATGTTGACAGTGCTACAATTGCTGTGTGATCAGGGTTATGATGGTGCAGGAAATATGTCTGGTAAAAATAAAGGAGTTGCTGCCATCATTGATGAATTGTGTTTATGTGCACCATACTTTCATTGAAATTTACATGTACTTAATCTTGTAGTTAAGTTAAATCAGCTACAAGTATAGCACGTGCGGAATATGATAGGTACCCTGGTTGAAATGTGCATATTTTTCAACTATTCACCCAAGTGTCAATGACTGTTTGAAGACAACATACTCAGAGTGATATCCTCATTAGGTGGACTAATTGCTACATGTGTGAGTCCTATATTCAGCGAAGGCAATCACCACTGCACAATAATTAAAGTTCATAATACAGTACAGTCTGTCTAGCACAGTATATCAACTGCGAGAGAGATTATATTCAATGCCATGGTGGACTATCTTCAACAGAACAACCTCGTGAAGGAATGCCAGCGTGGATTTATATGTGGACGCTCCTGCTTGACATAGCTGGTTGACTGCCAGAGAATGTTGTGACAGCACCAAGCACGAGCTCTTTTTAAGTCAAAGCTTGGCAAACACTGGTACATTGAGGAGTCCATATACAGTACACCCATTACTTGCCATTACTGGACTGTGATAGACAACTGACAAATCGCCTGACTGACTGTAATAAGCTGAGAAATGGAGAAGAGGATAAGGTTATGGAAAGCAAAATACCTGTACCTGAAATATGGACCACCTGATATTTTATACAGAAAGTGTAACTAATGAAGGTATTGCTAGATTTATAAAGTGCTTTATGAATGATTCAAGCAGTGCCTTAACAAAGGTGATCTTAAATCTTGTCCAATCCCACTAGGGGTCACAGCTCAAGATTGAAAAAGAAACAAGTTCAGAAAATTGTCAGGGCCAACTTTTCGGAGTGAGAGATGTAAACGTGTGGAACAATCTGCCAGAGAGCATTGTGGCGGCACCAAATGTGAGCTCATTCAAGACCAGATTTGACCATCACTGGTGCAGATACAGATACATTCTGGAGGTAGTGTTATGTCCAGTACTGTCAACAGTGCGTAACATACATGATTGATCGCCCAAGCGGCTTATGAGCCAATTAGTGGCCAAGAAAATAAAAATAAAAGTAGTACTCTAAAAAAAATCCAACTGCTTGGTCACAACTGTGCCAGATTATTGAGCTTTTGCCATACAATTTTCAGTCCCTTTGGTGTAATCATTTTCATTCCTATCATCTTTTATTCAAGTTATTTTTCTGACATAGAACATACAGACATATCTAATTATCAATACCAAACTAATCTTAACTCCTGTTATAATTATTGGAAGTTCTTAGACAACAAAATGAACAGTATTTTCTTTGGTGCAGATATCATTTGCCCTCACATTTCTAGAAAGTAAGGAAATTCTCTCCCTTTCTTCTACTTTCTCCCCACATATTCCATTCATGCAACAACTTGTTCTCACAACATTTGTTTCCCCAGGTGTTGAGGCAGAATGGCGAGACCGATTAAGAGGACGGGCACAATTCTGGGTGTCTTGGCTGTGGTGTTTGTGGTCATCATTATCATCCTGTGTGTGGTGCCCCGCCCTTGCCGTGACGACACTTGTAAGGAGGTTAGTGTTTCACTCTTCCCTTGGCTCTTGTTGCCATACAAAAGATACAGTAAAACTTTCATATAGGTAATTCGTAAGTTTTCATAACCTGGTTATTTTCAGAAATTCCCAACTCAAAATTTTCATGTTGATCTGAAGCACTAACTGAAAGGGAACCCATAATTGAGAGAATATTAAAAGGAAGACTTAAGTCCTGTCAGTTAAATCTCACCATCAAATGAGGCATCTGATGAAGGAAAAGATATTAAGAGAAGTTTCAAGAAGTAATAGACATGTTCCACTGCGTGATATGCTAATTGTTCTTAGGGATTTTAATGCCAAAGTTGGTTCAGCTAATAAAGGCCTTAAACACATTCAGTACAATAATTAAAATCAAAGTGTTAGTGAAAGGAATGAAACTAGAGCGTGCCCTGTTAGTCTCGTATAATAGGAGGCACTCGGTTGTAACATAAAGAAAGCCATAAATATACATGTACATGGACCTCTCCAGATGGGAAATAACAAAATTAAATTGACCATAGTGTATTATGATATCGAAGAATGGATGCAACACTCTGAATGATATTACAATGTGGAGAGGAGCAGATATTGGGTGTGATTGTCAGTTGGTTGTACAGTAGTTACTCTATTACACTATGGCTAAGAGCTGGAGAAAAATGACAATTTTGTAGAATGACACAAAAAAGCTATTAATTAAGAAAGGTTTTAACCCATTGAGTGGTAGGAGTTTCTCTCAGCTGATTAAAATTATCGGGTATTAGCCAGAATAAAATACAGTAGAGTACTAAAGTGCAACACTAATCCTTAAAGGTTAAACTGTGGGGTTTCGAGATGTTGGTTCACACTCAGGATGGGATGGAGAAAGGAAACTCACAATGTGCTCTCTGTATACATATTGTATTGGATGTACAATGCAGCTTGGTGCTGGGAAGGCAGCATGGTTACAAGCGTTGAGTAGAGAGAGCTGGTTGGTGAGGGTGCTCAGAGGAGAACACGCAGCTTGTGGGTCGGCATGGTCACCGGCTGGAGCGAGGGCCACCAGGCAGGAGTGGAGGAGGAGGTGTTGATGATGTTGCTTGCTGGTGGCGGTAAGTAGAATGAGGTAGGTCACCACGAGGTCAGGTCTTATATAGCGGGGGTAGGCGTGGCTTAATAGTTGACCTCAGTCATGTAAGGCGGCGCTGGTTGCTGACCTAGACCACGAGGCATACATTGGGGAATTCGCGGGGTCGGCTAGCCAGCGACAAACAGCGTTTGTAGGGGAGGAATCCACTACAAAACTACAGGAGAAAGAGAATATTATTCTTTAATGTAGAAATTGTTTCCTACCACTTGAAATGTGAGAAGAAAATCAACAGTCAGTAATCAAGGGGGGGGGGCTGGAAAGAAAACTCTTGGAAAAAGAAATAAACAGAAGAAGTGGCTATCAGAACATGCATAGGATATTATACAAAAGACAAGAACAGGAAATTGTTGTTGATAACTTTAAAGGAAGTGAAGATGCACTGCATGGAGTTCCTACTTGGATAAGTCTATACTTGAGCCTTAACAGTGAAGTTAAATGCTTTGTCTGGTGGGACAAATAAACATACCAGGGGCGGGTGCAGAAATGTATTGGGGGTGTCATCTGAGCTATCCTAAGGTTATTTGTCCTCAATACATCTTTCCATTCTCTTTTATCTTTTTCTTTTAATTAATCAACATTGTACTAGGAGCCTGAATATCCACAAGATTAATTCTGATAAAACTAATAATGTATATGGATTTTTTCTAGTCTGAATCCATCATATAAATTAATTTTGATTCTACTCCAGTGATTCTCCATTTATTTATCTATAACAAGTTCAGTTTCATGAATTAAACAATGATATGAGGAACCAAATTTTCATTTTACGTTGGACATTGACCTCCCTTAGCATACATTAGCTATTTTTATAATATTTTTAAGTATACAATAGTTACAATATATTTATGTGTGAGTATTTTATCCATAGTTTGTTAAACTACTATGAATGGAAAACCTTTTTCAAGTTAATACAGCATTATAGGACTAACTGTTACACACCAAATACAAATCAGTCAGTCATTCAGTTCAGTTGGTATGAAACTGTATTTTTTTTTACGGGGAAGAGACCACCCGGGCACAAGTCATTGACCCACAACGTGGCCTAGGAGGCGAAAAAATAAGAGTAAAAAAGAAATTAAAAATAAGAGAGAAAAAGGTGCCGAAAAACCATCTTTTTGAAGTGAGACATTGTATAAATATGGAAACACACAAGAAGGCAGAGCATTCCACATTTTGGCTGTGTGAGGAAAGAAGGATGTACTATAATGGGCATATACAGAATAGTAGCATTTAAATACATACAGAAATATAAGATTTTAGAGACAGTTTCTTAGCCAGTGATGTAATATTTGTATATTTTAAAGCTGTAAGAAATAGACACTTACTTTTGTAGATTTTTCTCTAGAATGTAATTTGTATATGTATGTGTATTACATTAGTTTTTAATTCTCCAGCCAATCTCAGGCAAGCATGCAGGAGGCTACCCTGGCAATACTTCGAGTGATTCAACAACTACACCTGGGACAACTACACCTACACCTAGTACAACTACACCTAGTACAACTACACCTACACCTAGTACAACTACACCAACACCTAGTATTACCCCATCTACTACACCTAGTACTGTCTCTGAGGATTCTACATCTAGTACTGTCTCTGAGGATTCTACATCTAGTACTCTGTCTAAAGATTCTACATCGAGTACTGTCTCTGAGGATTCTACATCTAGTACTGTCTCTGGGGATTCTACATCTAGTACTGTCTCTGGGGATTCTACATTTAGTACTGTCTCTGAGGATTCTACATCTAGTACTGTCTCTGGGGATTCTACATCTAGTACTGTCTCTGGGGATTCTACATTTAGTACTGTCTCTGAGGATTCTACATCTAGTACTGTCTCTGGGGATTTTACATCTAATACTGTCTCTGGGGATTCTACATTTAGTACTGTCTCTGAGGATTCTACATCTAGTACTGTCTCTGGGGATTTTACATCTAGTACTGTCTCTGGGGATTCTACATCTAGTACTGTCTCTGAAGATTCTAGTGAAATGACTGAACTGCCAGCTACACTGACATCAACCACTGAAATGCCAACTACACTGACATCAACCACTGAAATGCCAACTACTGAACTGCCAGCTACACTGACATCAACCACTGAAATGCCAACTACTGAACTGCTAACTACACTGACATCAACCACTGAAATGCCAACTACTGAACTGCCAGCTACACTGACATCAACCACTGAAATGCCAACTACACTGACATCAACCACTGAAATGCCAACTACTGAACTGCCAGCTACACTGACATCAACCACTGAAATGCCAACTACTGAATTGCCAGCTACACTGACATCAACCACTGAAATGCCAACTACTGAACTGTCAACTACACCGACATCAACCACTGAAACACCAATAGTTTATCTACCCTCAAGTCCATCACCAGAGAGTGAGTGTGGCTGCGATCATGTTTTATTTAATGCTGAGTATTGTATTTAGTTTTAGTATCTTTTATGCATAGTTAATTATGCTGTGTGAAACTGAGCTGTTGCCCTCTGGTAGAGACTAGAATACTATTACTGTACTTTTTATTTAGTTTAATCACTCCAGTCTTTCACATGTCATTTACATGATATTAGAAATACAGTATATATGCATTAGGGGAGGCATTAGGGGAGGGTATTATTTTGAGATGTTAAAAATATTTCAAAAAAGTATATCGTTAGAAAGGGACAAAGAATAATAAACTTGAGACTGTCTCTTTGCCTCTTTGTGATAGAAACAAGAGACCATCATTTCTGTGCTGGTCATGCACGAGTCTCATTAACTGCATACGTATGTCCTTTCACAGAGAGCCCTTTTTTGGCATAAGTTTTGTTGTACTGTACTGGGTGTCCAAAAAGTCCCCATCATTTTCAAGGAAAAAGAAAGTTAGTATCATATTTGTAATGTATTTTCTTTATTACACATGGCAACATATCTGGCATATGTCTTACTTCAACGTGGTCACTGCCAGTGTCTGAATGAATGAATGTTTTCCCAATAGCTAGAGTGGGCATGGTGGGAACAGCCTCTGGTTAACAGGAGTTCTCTACATGGGATTCTACACAGTTCACGTTGCCTGAAACAAGAACAACATGCCTTCAGGATTTTTGAAATGACATTTATGTTGCTGCATATATTTTAACTCTACAGAAGTTGATGAATGTCTGAGATATGGTGAGACATTGATGGTGGGCAAGTGGAAGCTAATAGATAAATCTGATGTGTAGTTATCCCTGTATGTGCAATACTGTAACTAAATGGAAGACGAGAACTTTCTTTTTGTGGGGGGGGGGTTATTTGGTGTGAATTCCTTTATCTTAAGCTTATCCTGATATTCCGATCAGCAGTGTCAGTTGCATTTATTATTTGATGCAATTTTTTCTTTTATCTTTGACGTGGTGGCGAGATAAGGACTTCTTGGATACCTGTTATTATTTTTACTTCTATCTCTTTCACATCAAATCATTTCCTGGTCCTATTAATTGAGCTCTAAAGGGATGATAGGTTAATTCTTATTCCTCTTTCTGTAAAAGCTGATGAGGTGTGTCATTCAGCTGAGTGCAAAAAAGTAGCAGGACGTATGTTGGATGGGATGGACAAGAGCGGTGTGAAGCCCTGTCAGGTCAGTAGCACTTCTTACAACAATGGAGCTTAGTGGATCTGTGGAACTTGATGCAGTATATTATTCTTTCAAAAATATATGGATATGAAGTAAATAATCCTATGAGATCATAGAGCAATCCAAAGTGAAATTGATTCATTCTTTTTCTCCACAGGACTTCTATCAGTACGCATGTGGTGGTGTGGAGGATGAACTTTTCCTGAAGCCTTATGACCCAAAGGTTAATGCTGCCAAAATTATCAAAGGTAATCACTGTTTTGCTTACACCTGTCATGTGGTTATACTCTGGTGTGTATGTCATGTGGCTATACTCTGGTGTGTATGTCATGTGGTTATACTCTGGTGTGTATGTCATGTGGTTATACTCTGGTGTGTATGTCATGTGGTTATACTCTGGTGTGTATGTCATGTGGCTATACTCTGGTGTGTATGTCATGTGGCTATACTCTGGTGTGTGTATGTCATGTGGTTATACTCTGGTGTGTATGTCATGTGGTTTATACTCTTTGTGTGTATGTCATGTGGCTATACTCTGGTGTGTATGTCATGTGGCTATACTCTGGTGTGTATGTCATGTGGTTATACTCTTGTGTGTATGTCATGTGGCTATACTCTGGTGTGTATGTCATGTGCTGCTCTCTGGTGGTGTGTATGTCATGTGGCTATACTCTGGTGTGTATATCATGTGTTTACTCTTGTGTGTATGTCATGTGGTATACTCTAGTGTGTATGTCATGTGGTTATACTCTGGTGTGTATGTCATGTGGCTATACTCTGGTGTGTATGTCATGTGGTTATACTCTGGTGTGTATGTCATGTGGCTTCTCTGGTGTGTATGTCACTCTGGTGTGTATATGTTATACTCTGGTGTGTATGTCATGTGGCTATACTCTGGTGTGTATGTCATGTGGCTATATGCTCTGTATGTCATGTGGTTATACTCTTGTGTGTATAATGTGGCCTATACTCTGGTGTATATGTCATGTTTATACTCTGCGTGTATGTCATGTGGCTATACTCTGTGTGTATGTCATGTGGTTATACTCTGGTGTATGTCATGGTGTGTATGTCATGTGGCTATACTCTGGTGTGTATGTCATGTGGTTATACTCTGGTGTGTATGTCATGTGGCTATACTCTTGTGTGTATGTCATGTGGTTATACTCTGGTGTGTATGTCATGTGGCTATACTCTGGTGTGTATGTCATGTGGCTATACTCTGGTGTGTATGTCATGTGGCTATACTCTGGTGTGTATGTCATGTGGTTATACTCTGGTGTGTATGTCATGTGGCTATACTCTGGTGTGTATGTCATGTGGTTATACTCTTGTGTGTATGTCATGTGGCTATACTCTGGTGTGTATGTCATGTGGTTATACTCTGGTGTGTATGTCATGTAGCTATACTCTGGTGTGTATGTCATGTGGTATGTGTATGTCATGTGGTTATACTCTGGTGTGTATGTATGTGGCTATGCTCTGGTGTGTATGTCATGTGGCTATACTCTGGTGTGTATGTCATGTGGTTATACTCTGGTGTATGTGTGTATCTCTGGTATTGTCATGTGGTTATACTCTTGTGTGTATGTATGTGGCTATACTCTGGTGTGTATGTCATGTGGTTGCTCTCTGGTGTGTATGTCATGTGGTTATACTCTGTGTGTGTATGTCATGTGGCTATACTCTGGTGTGTATGTCATGTGGTTATACTCTGGTGTGTATGTCATGTGGCTATACTCTGGTGTGTATGTCATGTGGTTATACTCTGGTGTGTATGTCATGTGGCTATACTCTGGTGTGTATGTCATGTGGCTATACTCTGGTGTGTCATGTGGTTATATGTGGTGTATATGTCATGTGGTAATACTCTTGTGTGTATGTCATGTGGTTATGCTCTGGTGTGTATGTCATGCTATACTTGTGTGTATGTCATGTGGCTATACTCTTGTGTGTATGTCATGTGGTTATATGCTGGTTGTATATGTCATGTGGTTATACTCTGGTGTGTATGTCATGTGGCTATACTCTGTGTGTATGTCATGTGGCTATACTCTGGTGTTGCTGTCATGTGGCTATACTCTGGTGTATGTCATGTATTATACTCTAGTGTGTATGGTTATACTCTTGTGTGTATGTCATGTGTATACTCTTGTGTGTGTCATGGCATACTCTTGTGTGTATGTCATTATGGTTATATGCTGGTGTATGTCATGTGTTGCACTCTTGTGTGTATGTCATGTGGTTATACCTGGTGTGTATGTCATGTATATACTCTTGTGTGTATGTCATGTGGCTATACTCTGTGTGTATGTCATATGGCTCTGTGTGTATGTCATGTGGCTATACTCTGGTGTGTATGTCATGTGGCTATACTCTTGTGTGTATGTCATGTGGCTATACTCTTGTGTGTATGTCATTATGGTTATATGCTGGTGTATATGTCATGTGGTAATGCTCTTGTGTGTATGTCATGTGGTTATATGCTGGTGTATATGTCATGTGGCTATACTCTGGTGTGTATGTCATGTGGCTATACTCTTGTGTGTATGTCATGGTTATATGCTGGTGTATATGTCATGTGTGTTATATATGTCATGTGGCTATACTCTTGTGTGTATGTCATGTGGCTATACTCTTGTGTGTATGTCATGTGGTTATATGCTGGTGTATATGTCATGTGGCTATACTCTTGTGTGTATGTCATGTGGCTATACTCTTGTGTGTATGTCATGTGGCTATACTCTTGTGTGTATGTCATGTGGCTATACTCTTGTGTGTATGTCATGTGGCTATACTCTTGTGTGTATGTCATTATGGTTATATGCTGGTGTATATGTCATGTGGTAATACTCTTGTGTGTATGTCATGTGGTTATGCTCTATGGTATATATCACATAAGTATGCTGTTTACTGTACAATTATGTTTTGTAGATATACCTGTCATTATGTAGCTGTGTTTTATATTTTGATCTTACAAGTCTACATTCTCTACTGTGATTAATGGTGCTGTTCTGTATTCAAATTTGTTCATATAAATACCTATTGAATGTTACTGGATATCTTATATACATGAAGATTGTATTTACAGTATATGTAAAGTATTTATTATGGTATACTGTACAAGTCATGTGATAATTCATTATATCTTATATTGCAGTAAATCTAATTACTGTATTAACCTAACCTAACCTAACCTAACTATCATGTTATGGTAGAGCATCATAAACCACATCTTCACCGTAATATAGGACAATTAACCACTTTCATATTCATTATTCCTACAGACAAGCTGGCTGGCATAGATCCTACATCATTGACTTATCCTCTCAAAAAGTTTTATGACAGCTGCCTGAATTATGAAAATGTTAATGAAAGTGATCATAAAAACGAGGTTAAGAAGTTGTTTCTGGATATTGGGTATACATTTAATACTCCTAATGACAACTTTAAAATGTGGAATGTATTGGCCAAAATGATGAAGCTACACTTGTAAGTATTCTGCACTTCTTAGAATTTTATCCTAACAACTTTAATAATGAACTTTCTGTATTGTTAGTGATATAGTTATTATATATCTGTTGATATTCTTAATTTGCTTTCATAAGAATAAGATTATATTAAGATTTTTTTCATCATATGGTGCAGCATCTTGTTTTTAACATTATCACAGCCTTGGTATGGGACTTCCAAAGTGACCTGTGTGATTGGCATATCTTCTTCAAATGTCACCTGTGTAGCTATAACATTATTCTAAAGTTCACACCCATTCTTAGAGGGAGTTAATGAACCTAACCCAATCTAACTGGCTGCTTTGTAAAGTCAGTGTATTGACTGTGCCATTCAGAATTTTTTTTTGTGAGTATTGCCTCCCACTTTGAGTTTCAGCAGTGATCGTTAGCAAGTACAGTGTAGTCCCACTTAACAAGCAACCAATGTTCTTGAAAAAGCATTCATAAAGTGAATTTGCACTATCTAAACCCATGGTACAAGCCAAGATGCTTTCCAGCTTTAACATGTTCAACCCCAAAAATACTTGTTGTAAACAGAGGTGGTCACCAGCTCAATCAATTTTGACCCCAAAACCTAACTTAACAATACCCTGTACATTATTAACCTTGAATACTGATATGGTAATGGAAACTGTACTCATTTATTCACTGAACCTTAAGACCTATACAGTGTATTAATTTTCTTTTATTTATTTATTTTTTATATTTTCATATCATTTTTGCCACTTATCAGCTTACTAGCCATTTGGATGCTCTATCCCATGTTAGTACAGGAGGAAACTGGGGACTGGGGAACCTGTGGTGTTTGGTAGTGAGGGTCACACTGGATAACACCTTTCACACGTGTGTCTGGGCCAAGGCTCGAACCCTTGACATACAGTATTGGTGAGAGTTACGTGCGTTACCGCCATACCACCTACCCACACCCTAATGTTGCTGGTATAGAAAATGAGTCTATGAGTACGCTAGACCACCTCCCTCTCCCTCACTGATGAAGTAACTGTCACCAGCCACAGCCCTGAGCTTCACAATATGTCAACTAATGTTGTTCATGATGTCTGATTTATGAAGAGTAACTAAGCAAATAGTACTTGATATTAGAGTGAACAGCTGCAGCAATATATCAGTCTACATGGGACCCACCATGTTACTGATATGCAAATTGCATTGGTTTAACACCAAAATAAGGTTTAAAATCAAGAGACATTTGTGGTTGTAAGTTTCAATGTGGCACCAATTGTTGCATGGCGCCTAACCCATCGTGATACTGTGGGCTTGCTCACCCCAGTTTGCCATGCTATCTCAGTGTTATGTATACCCTCGCTGTGAATGCAATAATAGCACCTATCACATCAAAAAATAAGAAGAAAAAAATCTTGGTTCGCACTATAGTTGTATTTTGAGGTGTAGAAGACGCTGCATCATGGAATACGCACCCTGATTTTGGAAATGTAATTCTAGGAATTTTTTTTTTTATACTTACTAACCGACACCAGTGAAACCGTTGCTTGATATACAGCCCTTTTGGCACAAGTACACCTCTTTGAATATTATCACTTAGAACTGCTTATCAGTCTTCATTTTCATCAATTTCGTTTCATGAAGCAAAAACACCAACAAGCAGTTCCTTTGAAGTCATCCACCCCTGTGTTTGCTACAAACCTTCTTGCTTCCAAAATAATCATCTTCGTAGTCACCGCAAAACCCAAGTTTCTTTGGTCTAATATCCGTGTTTTCAAGTTTTCTTCTAAGTACCGTATGGCCATTTTGCTGGTACTATATGAAGATTATGCTTCTGTTTATTCGTTTTTTTAATTCTCCCTCCTGCTTCCTCCACTGGCGAATCATCTTCTCAGTAGGTGGTGGTCCGAAGTTTTTCTCTGTTGCCCTGTTTCCATGTTCTTTGGCATATTGCACTACTTCAAGTTTAAATGTGATATTACATTTATGTCTCCTTGATACACCTGCCATAGGTGAGGGAGATAATTTGCAGGAATGAAAATGGCTTGTGACACCAGTGAAGGCCTGGTAGTGAATGAACAAAGTTCTAGACACTCAAGTGTGAAGAAACAAAAATCCCTGCGCTTTGGGACCAGCAGACAATCTTTCGCAATTCCTCAATAGATGGTGCTGCCGCACCACTGCCATTAGTAAACAAACCGCACAGCAGCATGGGTTGTGTAGCTGCAGCCGTTTTATTTTTATTTTTTATTTTACTGACTGAGTAAGTAAATACAGTAGTCCCTCGGTTAACGAACACAATTCGTTCCACAGAGTCGTTCGTTAACCGAATCTATTATTTCAATGGGATATTGGGTAATTGGTTCCAACTCACAGAAAAAGTACATACAAAGTACTGTTTACCGGTAATAGAATTAACAAAACATTAAATATAAACTAAATACAGTACTTTACTGTACAGTATACTGTACAATAATTTTAATATAAAAAATGCAGAAATATTCAAGAGACCAACTTTCTTGATATTTACTTCACTGGAAACGAATGTAAACATAGAACCAATTACTATACTGTATTGGCGGACTAGCTGATCAGCTGATCAGCTGATGAGCACAACAAAACGTGTTTGTCATAAGGATTTCGTTAATTGAACTGAAAATTTTTATGGGAGCTAATTCGTTAACCGAAATTTCGTTAATCGAACCATTCGTTAACCGAGGGACCACTGTAATCGTATTTTTTGCAGTATATCAACAATATTAGTTAAATCAATTGTTTTGTAGTACAGAGAATACTTGTAATTGCTAAGTAATGAGGTAACAGTCTTTGTAAGGGGCTGATTTCAGTTGACCCTAAGAAAACCTCCGCTACAACCCATCAACTAGCGTCATGGAAGACGCATGGTAATTTTCAAGGTATATTTTTGGAATAAAAAGTGCGTCTTCTACGCCACAAAATATGGTATATTTCCTTGGTGGTACAATGGATTGGACAGCTTTGTCTTCCTGAATTTTCCTGTGAAGACAAATTGGTTAAAGACATTAGCTGAACTTCCACCACTATCTTCATCATATTCCTCTGTGTCAATATTTGCCATCAAAATTATATCTCTCTTCCCATATTGCTGTGCATTTATGTTTATGTCTACCTGATGCACGAGTATCGCTCATGACTGCCAGATACATGTTCTGTTAAATGTCCTGCCACCATGAAATTTTTTTGCATGAATTATTATACGTAGATGGTGACATATTCGGGGGGGGGGGTGAAGACGTTTGTCATCATTGTGTAAGACTCCGGTGTCAAGTGTATGAGGTACAGTCTCGTTCAAGATTGTTTTAACACTGCTGGAGACAACTGGCAAGTCAAGGCCGTTTGGTTAGTATAGTACGTAGTAAAAGTTATGAGTAAATGTAAAGGTTATCAGTGATTGGTTACTTAGTTCCCCATTGCTTAATTAATGTTTGGGTTTTGTTGTTTCATATTATATATATACTACATACTAGAGTAAACAAACGGCCTTGAGTTGCCAGCTGTCTCCAACAGTGTTCGAAGAATCTTGAACGAGACTGTACATCTGCAGAACTATAATGGTTAACAGCATTGCTAAGTATGACTAGTTTCCTCTTGATAAAAGTATGCTTGACTCATTCACTAGGTGTGCCCTGCCAAGCTCTCCAACTGTGTCAGAATTTTAATAACTTTTCAGTATTCCACAGTTTTTAATGTTAACATCTTCATAATTTCTTGAGAATTCTTGACATGCAGAACTTGAAGGATTGACCATTGGCAGTGACAAAAAGATAAGAACATGTCTTTGAGTAAAACAAATGTCTCCATGCACCTGGCTCTAGGTGCTTTCTCACATACAAAATGTTTTCCCACAATGCATTACATGTGGAAAAGATGAAAAACATGTTGCAGGTCAGTATACTACATGTAAACCTAAGTCCAGCATAAATGAAATTTGGGTAATGGAAAATAAAATGTGTTAGTGCATATAACCGCCGTCCGGGCGGTTAAAGGAAGAATAAGACTTCTGACGTTGTTCACGAACACTATAATTCGGTCAAACCTGTTGAATACAATTTATTTAGTATTTAAAATAAGTCATACATAGGCACTCCTACATAAATGTTTAATCCAATATATATTTACATAACAATCATGGCTATGTAATTAGTCTAATCTTAACACTTACAATGAGTACTCAATTTGCCATATTTCTATATTGTCACACTGATAAATGATGCAATGGCCACAGTCTACCTGTGTACACAATAAGTACTAGTTAAACTTATGTGTTGAAAGTCTAGAGAGAAGCCAGGTTAGGTGTTGCCTCTAAGATATGGGTAGCTACACTGAAATGCCCACCTGATAGCCTGGCCCCCTGGCTGGTCAACTATGGTTGAGTCAGGTGATTATAATTATACATAAACAAACTCCTTTCACACACTCCAACCTCCTTCTGGGCCTCTCATCTCCACCATCTTCGTACTCTACATACTGTATACGGGCAGGCACACCCAATAAACATGACATGACTTACCGCCTAACATAATGTTTGTTTATGTGTCATCCTACTCATTGCTGCTTGCGGTAACAGTGCAAGTCAGGCCCTTACAAAGCTGGCATGTCTGTAGCTGTTGCACTAATCTGAACGGACTGTGTACGTATGTGACTTATGAATCCAAACAGCCACCTGTATAATGCAGGCAAAAATTGGGATGCCTTTGCAGGTGATCTTGTGGGTCACTTGTTGATGCACTATAAGCCATGAATTAAGAATTAATAAAAAGTATATAACCAATATAAAAAGGTGAATATAAAAATATAGTACTGTATTAATAAATGATGTTTTCATTTGACAAAATTTTTACCATTCTCTTTCTTTACAGCACTCCATTGTTTGATATAGGTTTAGATCTTGATGAGTCTGACCCCGCAAAATTTGTACTTAAACTCACACCACCATTGTTCAACTCGCCATTTAGTGATGACTTAGCCAAATCCAGGTGCCTCCAGGAGTACAAACAACATGTAGAAAATGCTAAATGGAAAAATGGAAAGATAAATATCACTGATGAATATGAAAAGCATAAGTTGTGTATGAAGGTGAGTAGACATGAATATTTATGTTGTATACATATAAGTATTTATTATCAATAGGTAGTAGGCAGCTACTAAACAGGGAGGTGCTACCGCCTGGGAAGATATTGGAAGCATAATGTGTTGTGTAATGGTGGACCCTGCTGCTGTATGGCATCACAAAAATTGTGACCAAGTCCCAGGTTGCTGATCTGACTTTCTGCTTCATTTACACACAATTGCAGGGTCTCAATTGTTTCTCTTACTTCGACAACACAACATACATAATGTATATCGTTTCTCATTCTTGATTTATTTTTTCGCTTTTGTATTTATTTATGGTTATTATTATTATTTTTAGTGTTTTATTTGTATTTTTAGTATTTTGTTATTAATTTTTATGAATTATTATAAAAATAATAATAGTTATTATTATTATTATTATTATTATTATTATTAATATGATTATTATTATTATTATTATTATTATTATTATTATTATTATTATTATTATTATTATTATTATTATTATTACTATTATTATAATTATAATTATAATATTTTCGCCCCCAGGCGCTGATGTGGGTCAGTGACCTGTGCCCGGGTGGGACTAATCCCCGTAAAAAAAAATAATATATACGTATAGACAAATAAAAAATATCAGGAGCAGAACCAGCACTTTATGACAGGTTATGATCCCCTCAAAAAATAAGTGCTTTGAAAATTTAAAGAACCATAATGAATTATAAGTGTTTTAGATTCCTGTGACTTTTGAACTATTAATATATATATGTGTGTGTGTGTGTGTGTGTGGGTGGGTGGCAGCATTATGTTGCTGCCACCGCTGACTAGCCCTCATGGCAAACAGGTAAGCAACTTGCTTAAGTCTTCCCCTGCCATTACACAGCCTCTTCACCATCAAGACTCCTCGTGGCAATACACAGTAACTGGGTGCCTCGTGGGCCCAGGCTAGACCAGCAGGGGATCTCGGAGTAGCAGTGGACCCCAGAGGGGACGGCACATTGGCCCAATGACATGTGGACACGTTTTGGCACTTAACAACCACTGCCCCACTGTCTTGCAGATTAATCTTGTCAGGTATAAGGCTACGGGAGTAAACACCGAACGAAAAATATTCGTTGGAGCCCCACATCAGGCAGACATGCTTACAGAGCTCCAACAAAACTCCCACGGCGGTATAGGCGGAAGAGGTGACCACCATGGAAACCCAACGACTACACTGGGTGGACGAAGGCAAAGCATGATGGACAGGCTACTAAGGCGAAACCCAACAAACTGCGCTATCGGCAGTCCATTGCAACTCTCCCTCTCCCCAGTCATTGCAACACTTGCACCACTGGATTAGGAAAAGGGGGAGCCAAGATGTGTTGTTGTAGCCTGCGCTCCTGCCTCACCACATAAATCAACTCGCGCATAGCCATCACCCAACTCATCATACCTCTCATCATCATCAAAACCACTATACCCCTCAAAAGTCCTATGGCGATGGACGAGTGGTGACAGGGACAGGCAGGGATGACTGCTGGGAGTCTCTACTCTGTAGTCACAACTCTGCACGTGGGCGGCACAGATAAGATGGTCATTTATGCACTGGGATCTATGCAGCAGTGCAATCCAGTCCTGTCTGCGACTGATCAGCCCTTTCGAGGAGCTACTCTGCTCACCCCACATGAGGAGGGGGCTAGAAAAAGTGCCCTAAACATAGCCTGCCTAAAAAAACTACTTGACTGGGCAACTGCACCCAGTAAGGTCATCCTTATGTGGTCAAAAACACAATCAAAATGACAGATCCAAACAAAAACAAACTACACAACCTCTAATGGTCGCTGCATGGAATGTCAGGACCCTTCTGGATACTGGCACAAATGAGCATCTTGAAAGCAGAACTGCCCTTGTGGCAAAAGAGCTGGCTGGGCATAACATCGACATGGCAGCCATCAGTGAGGCCTGGCTCCCAGACGAGGGTCAACTCACAGAACTGGGGGTCTGACTACACCTTCTGGAAGTGTAAGCCTGCTGAGGAGAGAAAATGCATTTATGGAGTTGACTTTGCCATCCACCAACGCATCCTTCACAGGCTAGCTGAAATGCCTATTGGGATCAACGAGTGCCTCTTGACGCCCCGAGCCCCACTGAATCACTCACGTCATGCCTTCTTCGCCAGTACATACGCCCCAACACTGGATGCAGAGGATGACATCAAAGAGGCCTTTTATGCCGACCTCGACAGTGCTAACCTCTATCCCTAGAGAAGATAAAGTTGCTCCTTGGTGACTTTAATGCCAGAGTTGGCAGAGATGTTGACATTTGGCAGGGAATCATAGGGAGAAATGGACTAGGGAAGTGTAATCCTAACGGCCTACTCCTCCTCAGCAAATGTGCTGCACACAACCTCACTATAACCAATACCTTGTTTAGGCAGACCGACAAGTTCGAGGGTTCATGGCAACACCCACGATCCAAACACTGGCATCTCATTGACTACATCATTGTCAGAGAAAGAGATCGCCGAGATGTCCTCATCATCCATGCCATGCATGGCTCAGACCACTGCGACACTGATCATCGGCTCGTCAGAGCCAAGCTCTCACTTCATGTCGCCCCAAAACGGCGAAGGCAGCAAGCCTCCAGAAGAGATTTTAACACTAAGCATCTGGAGAATCCAGAGGTAGCACATGCCTTCAAAAAGCAGCTCGAATATGGGCTGATAAGCAACCCAACAACAAACAACCCAAATCCCAGTGCCGAATGGGAAACTCTCGACACTGTCATGACAAAAACATGCAGAGAGAACCTTGGCCAGATCGAAGAATACACCAGGACTGGTTTGATGAAAATGACCTGGCAATCAATGTACTCGTCGATGATAAATGTGCTGCTTTAACTGACTGGCAGAACAACCCTCAGTCTCGGACCAAGGCTGATACCTTCTGCAAGAAGAAAGTGGCGGTCCAGCGGGAACTTTGTAATCTAAAGAACAACTGGCTTAGAAATAAAGCATATGAAATACAAAAATTTGCAGATCAGCACAAGATGTGCAACTTTTTCAATTCCACTAAAACATTTTAAGGGCCAATCACTCGTGGCGCAGTCCCCCTTCGCTCATCCAATGGTAACTCCATAATTAAAGACGATGAAGGCCATCTTCAGCGCTGGAAAGGGCACTACCATTCACTGCTCAACCAAAACACCAATGTGGATGTCTTGGTTACCCAGCAGGTCCCTCAGCAGCCAGAGCTGACCCACCTCAGCTATCCTCCATCCCTGGATGAGGTAGCTACTGCCATCAAACAGATGAAAAATAGCAAAGCCTCAGGGCCTGATGGAATCCCAGCTGAGGTCTATATAGCAGGAGGACCTCTGCTTACCAGCCGTCTCCACTCTCTCCTGGAGAATATATGGGAAAAGGAGGAAATCCCCCAAGCTCTAAAAAATGCCTCCATCATCAATACAGTATTTATAAGAACAAGGGAGACCGGTCAGACTGTGGCAAGTACCACGGGATCTCGCTGCTGTCTGTAGCTGGCAAGATTATCGCCCGAGTCCTCCTAAACAGACTTCTTCTTGAGGTGGAAAACTGCCTCCCAGAATCTCAATGTGGCGTAAGAGCATCACGTGACACCACTGACATGATCTTTGCTGCCTGTCAGATACAGAAAAAGTGCAGAGAACAGCGTCGTGACCTGTACATGGCTTTCATCAACCTAACTAAGGCCTTTGACTCGGTCAACAGGGAAGCCCTCTCGTGTGACCCTCAGCTGTTTTGGCTGCCCACCAAAGTTCATCGCCATTGTGAGGCAACTCTACGATGGCATGAACAGCAGTATCCTGCACAATGGCACCCAGTCTGAGTTCTTCCCCATCCAAATGGGGGTTAAACAAGGGTGCATACTGGCACTAACTCTCTTTTCCATTTTCTTGGCTGCCTTCCTTATTCGTGCCAGTGCCAGCTGGGTGGACATACGGTACCGGATGAAGGGTCTTTTCAATATAAGACGACTCCAGGCAGGAACAAAGGTGTCGGCAGCTTCTATTACTGAACTTCAGTAAGCAGACGATCTTACCCTTGTCGCTCACACTGAATGCAACCTACAGGAGATCCTGAACACCTACTCAGATGCATTTGCACACTTTGGCCTTGAGGTGAATGTACCTAAGACTCAGAGTCTCTTTTAACTTGCCCCTGGTTCAGCCACACCTCCACCATCCATCCAGCTTAACGGTACTACCCTCACTAATGTTACCCACTTTCGGTATCTCTGCTCCCACCTGTCCACCACCTAATTAGACAAGAATAAATAGATAGACCAGACAGCCAGGCATGAAGGATGAGGTACTATGGAGAGAGAGTCTGTCAACAAGGAAGAGACCTTTACCTTGACCTGTGTGACCACAGCCCGTGACCTCACTTGGACTTACCCAACCTTAGTTAATTCCCAAGTGACCCACTGCCACATGGCAGCTAATCCGTCAAACAGACCGTTCCGAACTTGGCCTGTAAACTCACACAAGTTAAAATGTTTATACAGTATTGTTGACTATACTGTATTGTATATACAGTACAGGTTGACAATCCCTTATCCGAAATCCTTGGGACCAGAGGCATTTCGGATTTCGGAATTTTTCGGTTTTCAGAATTTTTTTTTTTTTTTTTTTTTTTAAATGTGTATTAGCCCGGGCACAAGTCACTGACCCACATTGGGGCGGGAGGCGAAAATAATAATAATAATAATAATAATAATAATAATAATAATAATAATAATAATAATAATAATAATAATAATAATAATAATAATAATAATAATAATAATAATAATAATAATAATAATAATAATAATAATAATAATAATAATAATAATAATAATAATAATCATAGGTCTAGGTCAGTGGTTCTCAACCTTTTTCACTTCATTCCCCCCTTGAGGAATTTTCAACATCCTCGTGGCCTCCTTCATTTTTCTCCCAGAACAGACAAGTGATAAAGACTAAAGAAGGACAGATAAATAGGACAAGAGTTAGAATAGCAAACACACATACACATTCACATACATAACACGCCCATGCACTCACACATAAAGCACATATACAGTCATACACAAACATGCACACAGGTAAACATTCACACTCAAGCTAGCAAACTGAAGTGTACTTACTGTAAGCAAGAACACGCCTCCTTTGACAACCACTGCCCAACTTGGAAGAATGAGAAGAATAGTGAGTCATACCAATTTTGCACTAAAAATGGTAGGATTATATAAGTAAAGAATGAGTATGAACAACAATGGCACCAATAAATAAGGAAATAATTAAGAAAGGTGTACAAATATTTCACCCACGTAAAGCAGCGACCACATGAATTATGAAACAAAATAAGTAACACCAATTACGGAGTATATTATGCTTGAGTCAAGCTCAAACACAATATATGGTTCAGAGACAATACACTCCACTGTTTTCGTGATGGTATCCCAGGCCAGACTGAGATCATTCGGCCCTATCACCACTTGCAAAGGGATGACACACGGACACGTACTGAACAAGGCAGTTCAGCAACTCGGTTCAGCGCCTGTCACACAGACAGGGACTGGACCTGTGAAATCTTAAATTATCCATAAAAAAAAATAGCACCAGAGTCTGTAAATATTAAAATTATATTGTCGTTATGATTAAACAAAATGACAAAAAAGAATGAAAATTCTCTTCTGCCAAGTCAAAATAAGTAATACAAGTTATGTTTAATTCAGATTCCCAACATTATTTGGAAACGTACAATTTATAACAGCTCGCCGTCGCTCCCCTAAATTCTTGCCGTAGCTCCCTTGGGGGCCATGGCCCCCAGGTTGAGAACCACTGGACTCTAGGTCGTGTTTCTCACTTTTTATCTTTTTTCATTCTTGTATTTCTTTATTATTATTATTATTATTTTATTAATACAGTATTATTGTCATTATTATTAATTTTATTATTGTTATCATTATTATTTTATTTTGACGTATTTTTTATTAAAATATTTATTTACTTTGAGTAATTATTATTATTGTAATTAGTATTACTATTACATTTTCGCCCTCCAGGCCCCGATGTGGGTCAGTGATCTATGCCTGGGTGGGCTAATCCCCGTTTAAGAAAAAAAAAAAAAATTGCTCCACTAAAATACTTTCAGTTTTCAGAGCTTTCGGTTTTCGGAATTTCGGAAAAAGGGTTGTCAACCTGTACTTATTTCAATGTTACATTTTTGTAGTTACTTACTCTTGGGTGATGAAACAGTAATGAATTGTGTGTGAAGATTATTCTTTTAACAAATATTGCTTTAATCACTAAAGCTGGCTGCATATGCCTACACCATGCATTCAGGCTGCATGCGGTCCACTGGCTGTGGGTTGCCCATGCCTGATATACAGGATATGAAAATTTGTAATTTTTGTAGTTAGAACAATTTTGAAAAATATAAAAAATGGGTAAAAAATGTACAGAAAGGTAACCTAATACAGTAGTCAGTTTGCTGTATTCTCACTTCCCTTAATGGACTGTTTGACCTATAGGTGTAAGCTGAATGTAAACTTGGTCCAACTGATACAGGTATCTATATTTGTCTTATCAGAAAGGACTTGGAGTTGAAACTCGGGTGAAGATGATGAAAATGGCCGTCAATGATCTTAACCTTATGGAGAACATTACCAATGCAACTGTCAGAGACGACTATTTAACAAATGCCTTGTTGGATGCTAATAACTTCATAGAACTTTCAGCAGAGGTAAGACTTAATTTATTTCCTGTATTTTCATTGTTGTTCCTTTTTTTGTATTAAGTTGTTTGTACCTGACTACAGTATATACAGTACTGTATACAGTAGGGTTGACCCTGTGATCCTCCCTATAGTGTACACTTTTATCACTACAGATGCTGCCAGATGTTCCAAAATTACGAATGTATCACGTCCAAAAGGAATATGAGGAGATGACTCTAGAGGACCTGGATGAAGTCTTCACAGAAAAAACTGTTAGTAGTGCACAAGTATTTTTTTTATAGTAATTTAGTATTTTTCTAAGCATAGCTTATTCTGAAATACCATCCAAAATTGAATTTTTCCTTGAAGATTATTTCTTTTCTGTCCGTTCATTATTAATACAGGTTGGACCACGCTAATCCGGGAAGCTTGGGACCTGACCGGTTCCGGATTAGCAAAAATTCTGAACCATCAAAGCCGAGGTTAAAAATGGCAAAATAATGCATAAAGTGTACTACTACTGTCTAATTTCTTCAGTATAGACATCTTTTATAAAATAGTTAATGTCACATGCTTACATTTCACCACATAACAACCATTTCCACTGCTTGCTGGTCCCTTAGGAGGCATATTTAGGGGTAAATTATAAGTATTTAAAGGTAAAATAGTGGCAACAGCCACTAGAAGTGAGCTATGACACCGTCCCAAACCATCAAAGCTGCTGGACTATCAGGCCCCGGATTAGTGGGGTCCAACCTGTAGATTAACTAAATTTGTAGTTGTGGTTATTGAGTGTTTCTTTGCTGTTAGAAAGGTAGAGTAACTTAATAATGATATAAAGGTAAGTTTGAGTAATTAACCTCAAAGTCATAGGTGTACTGTAGGTCAAAAGTAAGAATGACAGGAATTTTTCCTTTCCTCTGGTTGTGTACTACTGTATATGATGCACAGTTCTTAAATAAGTGGATACAACAGGTGGATCCAGGATTTTATAAGGGGAAGGTTTGGGTTTAGACTGAGTAGAAATAAAGTCACAAGAAAAGAAAAGGGTTACAGAAAAAAAGTAAGTTTTAACTAGAAGACATTCACATTTTATTTAAATACCATTAACAAGTAAAGTATACACCCAGAGCAGTTTAAAGTGGTTGTTAATTAACAATACTGCACTTGAATTCCACAGGTTTACAAAACAATACATCATGGCATTATAGATACAGTAAACCTTCACCCAACGCGGGGGTTAGGTTCCTCAAAAATGGCTGATTGGGCAAAATTGCATTGGGCAAACATAATTTCTTATGGGAAAAATGGGGTGGCGAGATCGTGGCCACATATGGACTCTTACCACGTGAAATGCATACCTTTTAAACATTTACATAATGCACAACTATTATAATAATAGAACTAACATACTGTACCTTAAAAAATTAAAAATATTAATGATAAGCATTATAAAACCATATTACTGTACTCACCAATCCATGGTTAGATGATTGTAGTGTAACTATGATGACGATGATATCGTAGATGTTGTGAAGCCTTCTGATGATGGTGATTGATGAAGAAGACTTCGATGATGATGAAACTGGAAAGATGCTTTCACACTTGCACGTATTTTGTCCTCACAACTACAAATTGTGGGCATGGTGGATTCGTTTTCAGAGTTCTCAATGGCAAGCATTGCAACACGCGCTCCATCACATATTCAATCTAAAATCTTTATTTTCTCGGCTAATGTCATCACTTTTCTACTTTTCTTGGGTGTGCTACCATCACTAGCATCACCTCTGTGTTTGGGGGCTATGCTGTAAGGGCAAAAACACAAAGTTCCAAAACTGCTTTAGTACAATGCTGGTGGTAAGAGTGCATAAGCGAGACTAGTGGGCATCTCCAACTGGCACATGGCGGAAGCAGAGCGGAGGTAAGACAGCAGAGGCGGCGCATTGTTAACCTGTTTATATTCAAATTTTCTGTGTTGGGCAAATTATTTGGTAACATATTAAAACATTTACGGTCAAAAGTGCGTTGGACAAACCAGCGTTGGGCGGGGGTTCACTGTATACTGCCTAATAAAAGTCACATCTTATTAAATACCTTTAACGACATTAAGTCTTGAAACAAAGTTTGTCGTCATACTGCCCCGACAACGACCAATGAATCTTTCACACATTTGCACCACAACTTTGTTTTGTGAGTGGCATTCCTGGCATACGTGAACCTATTGTAGCAGATTTTTTAACCACATTTATTACTGTCAGTAGTTTCCATGGCAGTAGGCGTAAATAATATTTAAGAATATTATCTCATAATGACCTAACACTAGGTATACACGGTTCTTTTGTCATCTCCATACCATTAAGGTCTTGGCCAGCCAGGCACAGCCGCCAGTTGTCGTTAATTACCTGGCCAGTGACATTGCAGTTCTCATACTTGGAGGAATTGTCAAAGGTACCGAATTACTTCACTTTAGTGGCGTGGTTAGGGAGGGGCCCAGGGGGGGGAGGCAGTCCTTGGGTCGTTGAGTGACCGCTGTGGGAATGTTGAATCAAAACTTTATAAAAGTGCCACATTCCTGATACTGTTCTTGCATCTATTAGAAATTACACTTTACTGATTAACCATCCCTAAAAAGAACTCCAACTTAAGTAGGAAATAGCCCCCCACCCCCCCTCCCAAAATGCTAACCCACCCCGGCCAAAAGTTTACCTTCAACTAGACTCTAAACTAGCCCAATTTGGTGTGAAAACTACCAATCTTACAACTCCGGGGATAATTACTTCATCTTATTTACTGAAGGAAGGAGGCCAGCAGCCTGTGTAGGTTGCCTCTACAGACAATGATCGTTTACGATGGATATATTTATACACTATATACGTCCGACCAGTTTTATGATGTTGAAAAATTAACACCATTTACCGCTAGGTGATGGTTAAAGATGGTTGCTGCCCGAATGCTTGTCCTGCATTTTTACCACACACACACACACACACACACAGAATTGAAGTGAAGTGAGTAATGCATTATATTATGCATCTTCAGATTGGTTGGAGAGAACTGGTGGATGACCTGTTGGATAGGACTGTGGACCCTGGGACAATGAAGGTGCATGTCTACTTCAAGGAGGAGCTTGTTGCCCTCCTGAAAATAATGAATGAAAGGTGGTGAGTGAGATTTTCATTGTGCTGTACGTACTGTATATGTCACAGGGAATTGTGTAACCAATGATTTCACGTAATCCCTAATATTTCTAGGGATTATATGAAATCACTGGTTACACAAATTCCCTGTAACACACACACACACACCCTGTATTTTTTTATAGCTTTGAACTTAAGGTGTGTCTCTGAAGGGTCACTGCCCCAACTTATTATTTCATATCAGACCTACCCCTTGCCAACCACATGTCTGCTTTCCATAAGTGAATTCTAGAACATAAATACACCGTGGATGGTGAGGAATTATTGTACATTTTTCTGTCACTCCACATTGATGTTGTAGTATGTATTGGATTGTCAGTATATTTTTTTATACTGTATAAATTCTCTTTGTTAGTGTTATCAATGAAAAAGTATTCTTGTTTTCCACACTGCTACAAGATATACTGTACTGTATAACATGTACAAGCATACCCCAATAACTGGCGCATATAGGGACCGAGAAAAGGCGTTGGTTAGTGAATCAACAGTTATCGAAGCAATTAATCCCATAAGAATATACCAAATTCAAGGGTTTAGGGACCAGGCACCCTCCAAAAATCTCCCATCTACCCTTGATATATCTTCGTCATGCATACTGTCAAGCAAGAAAATGAAGCAAGTATAATTAGCCTTAAATAAGGAATGTAAAGCACAAATTGAGACTGTTATTTACCTGTGTTGAGGATGGTAGAGACAGTCTAGCATGGCCAGTTCAAGTTTCCACCAATCCTTGCTGGTCCATCACCACTCTTATTATGCCTTATCGCATCACATAAGGCAGTACAAGAGAAACTATCACTGAGGCATTTAGGCATAATTGCATAACACACAAAGTCGGAAAAAAAAAAAAATACAAAGTCAAAGACACAAGGTAAGTGTAAACAAGAGCAAATAGGCGGGAATGAGTCCAAGGCAGCACCCAGAGCTTTCTTTAGGCAGGAATTTGCACCACGCCACCACCCGCCTAATTCAAAACAGCTCTGCCACTCCTCTCCCAATTGTTGGATCTCTGGGATATCAGCGAAACTTGTGGGGTATTTCTCCTATATGTAATCATCGGTTAGTTGAATTGGTGGTTATTGGGGCATCTGTTTTCTGGGTATACCTGTATCTGACATATTCTTTGCATAAGAGTGTTCTTGTTTTTTCCAGGTATCCGAAAGATCTACTGGATATATTTCTTCTCTTGTGGAGTGAGAAGATATATATAGACCTGGTGAAGCCCGAAGGAGCTAACTTTGGCTCGAGAGAATACTGCTATCGTGCCACAACTTCTCTCATGAAAGACTTTACCTCTCACCTCTACCTTGATGCCCTGCCTGACAATAATATCAAAGATGAGGTTTGTAATTCCAATAGGAACCAGTATACCATATTATCCCAGTATGACCATGAATACTCTCTCAGCATAACCATATAAAATAAACTACACATACGCACACATGTATGCATTGAAATGTCCTGCTTAAGAAGTAACCACTTACCGAGAACTCAGTTTAATGACCTGAGTATTAAAAGACATAATATTTCAAATAAAATAAAGGAGTAATTGTGGACACTTGCCAACCTGTACCCCCAGTAAGACACACACACTGCTGTAGTTGTCAAGTAGTATTTCCTTTTTATATACACTTGGTCCTCTTTCGTAACTTAAAGAATAAACAATACTGTACTTTAAACTCACACCTTTGTTAGATTTCATACTCAGGATATTTAAAATGGAATAAGAATACTGCAATAAAAAAAAAGGCTGGGAGAATGAATAATATTTTCAATTTTATATACGGTAAGCTATTATTTATTTTTTGTATTTACTATTTCACCACTTATCAGCTTACTAGCCATTCAAGTGGTTGGTTTGTTGTTTGTTACTTTGTTATGACCTTTATTGTCCTATGTTTGTACAGAGGAAACCAGAGTACTCGGTGAAATCCTGCCATGTTTGTTAATGCCAGACAGGGTAACACCCTCCTCACACCTGATCCAGGCTGATGATTAAGCTCAGGACACAGTAGTACCACCATCCACCAATCATCCTTTCCCCTATGTATATCATTGGATACAGTCTGATGTGGATACTAGGGAAGTAATTCAGAGAAACAAAGTGTGAAAATTAAACAAGACCTGCACTGACCAATTGTTGTTATGTCAGTTAAACTGGATCATGTGCAGGAAGTAATTGAGATAAACCTTAAAAGATTCTTGAGATGTTTAACACAACAAGTTCATTGTTCTTTCTCAAGTGCAACGAAGGTGGTCAAGACACTTAAGCTTTATCTCTACACAATTCATACAGTGCATCAGTGACTGGAGCCAGAAAAAGAGAAATATGTATCTTATTGTGAGTGGCTCTAAAAGCTGGTAAGACACCAAGATAATGTCATGTTTTTTCTACAGACAAAGCATGGTTTCATCTTGCTGGGTATGTAAAATTGCAAAGCATACTTTTATTGCTCAGTGAACAGCTTTATGAAATGCAAAAAATGTCTTTATTTTCCTGGAAAATTGGTGATTGGTGTGCTGTAAACTACCAAAGAATTATTAGCCCAATTGTCTTAACAGTAAATTCAGTAAGGCACATCAACATAATTCATAAGTATTTAAGGTACTTATTAGAAGATGAAATTGTATAAGGATGGTTTCAATAAGATGTTACCATGAGCCACACTTACTGGGTGTAGCTTAAATGAACTAAGCCCAACCATGCTGCCATTTATTGAGTGCGGGGAACGTTACATTTTCATCAGCTGATAAATTTTCTTTGTTTATACTGTATAAAACCTTTAAAATTATTTTTAAATATGACACAAGAACAGAAATCTATAAAATATAATGTCTTTGGAGTAAGAGTTGTGAACTCTTTGAATAATGATCTTCAGGAGTGAAGTGCTTCCCCATCTGGAATATTGTCACCCTGTCTGGTCCCCGAGATATGCTAGGGACTGTCAGTTGGTTGAAAATGTTCAAAGGAGGGCCACCAGACTGGTGCCTGCACTTCGGCACCTCAGCTACCCTGAGAGATTGGAGCACCTGAACTTGCCTAGCTTATACTACAGATGGGCAAGGGGAGACCTAATTGAGGTGTATAAGCATCTCAAGGGGCACTACTCAGTCGAGTGTCCTTACTTGGAGCCGGCGGACGCTCGCCCCACAAGTGGTCACAGCTCAAGATTGAAAAAGCCGCAAGTCCAGAAAACTGTGAGGGCAAACTTTTTTGGAGTGAGAGTTGTGAACTCTTGGAACAATCTACCAGAAAGTGTTGTGACGGCACCAAGTGTGAGCTCTTTCAAGACCAAACTTGACCAACACTGGAGCAGGTTCAGGTACATTCAGGAGCCGGTGCATGCACAGTACTTGCCAACAGTGCGTAACAGAGACGTGACCGATCGCCCAAGCGGCTAACGAGCCGATCAGTGGTGAAGAGGATAAAATAAAAATAATAAAAATAAGTGTGAAGTCATTTACCATCATATTTGACCAACACTGGTACATGTTCTGGCACATTCTAAAGCAGGGGTGTCAAATTCATCTGCTCGAGCGGGCCATATTTAATACGAAAATCAAATTACATTATATGTTCTATGTATTTCAATAGGAAATACTGTGTAGGGTATGGAACTGCAGTTGGTCATTTACGCGGCACCTGTCCAGACGCACCAATTATTAGTTACGCGGTACATTCTTGAATTTACGCGGGAAGCGGCGCGGGCAAACTGCGCGCTAGGTCGCTCTTACGTCACCGCTGACATCAGACTTGTGACGATGACGTTTCGGACTATGATTGGGCCACGCATCCTTACCACCCACGCATTCCCTCAGCCGCGAGCTGTGATTGGTCTATTTAACTTTGCTTGCCCTGCCACCAGGGGCGATGAGTCGATGACCTTGACTGCGTCAGTCCCATTGTCTCCCGTCTCCGCGTATACTCCCTCGTGCCTGCCACCCACCACAGCCAGCCCAAGTCAGTGATAGTGAGGATATTGACTTTGAGGGGTTTGACAAGGAGGCCCTGCTAGCCTCTGTGGTGGTTAGTGATACAAGTAATACAGGTGAGGGCCAATAATCTGCCCTCTGCCTCGGAACCAACCCCCCATCCCCGTGTGCCCAGCCATCTCTTCTACTAACGTCAGTGTTAAAAAACCTAATATTAGTGATATTTTTCTTAAATATTAATTGTGTGTGCATACCATCATAAAATTAATATGTTATTTTTACTACAACGTACGTATTGTGTCGGGAAAAGGGTAGTCCGGGGGTCAGCCCAGTCTCTATTTCAATTAATCCCATATGTTCTGTTATTTTGTTAACGCGTTTCGCGTTATGCGCGGACCTCCGTGGGTTTAATTGACCACGTAAACCCAGACTATACTGTACACCAATAAGTTCCTTTTAGACATATATTTTACCCAACCAGATTCAAAACTAGAACAACTCTACACTATACCTTGTATTATACTGTATAATGTATATACAACTGGCTCACACACCTTAAAGTATGACCGAATGTGAAATCTGAGCACACATTGTTGTCATGTGCAAAACAGACAAAGGAAGTGTTAGTTTAGATGTGAAATTGGAGGTGGTAAGGTATTTTGTAAAGGGAGAATAAGCTGTGGATATCACTAGAGCCTTACACTTAACTTTTAGCATTATATCAGACATTTTCATATTTTTTCATCCTTTATTTTTGTTTAGTCCCCCAATTTTTTTAACCTTCAATTAAAGTAAACCTTCACATATCGGGATGTTTCACGTAATTTCTGATTTTTTTTTTTTAGACATTCATAAAGCCTCATTCAAGGTGAATCTCAATGTGTAATGCAAATGCTGATATTTTTCATATTTTACTTTTCAATTTTTTGGTTTAGTAACTGGAGTTCTGGGTTTACACCGAACAAAATTTAATTTGAGTGCATTAAAAAAAATTAAATAAAAAAAATAATTTAGGGTGTCGTGTTGCATCAAAATAATTGAATTGAATCATGTTGAATCAGGGATCTACTGTAGTTACTAAAAATAGAGTACAGTACTGTACTCTAAATAATTTTCTAAATCTCTAAGGATGGTGAACCACTGACAAATGTGATAAGACAGAATGGGCTTGCGGCTTCTTCAACCTTGAGCTGTGACCCCTTGTGGGGCGAGCATCCGCCAGCTCCATGTAAGGACATTCAACTGAGTAGTGCCCCTTGAGATGCTTACTAGCCATTTGGGCAGTCTATCCAGTGTTAGTACAGTATAGGAGGAAACTGCTGTACCACCAAGACACCAAAATGCATCCTCCCTGGCAGGGAATTGAACCCCGGTCTCCTGTGTGACAGTCAGGGATACTCACCAATAAACAGTACTTACTACTATGTTGGAGACTTGTTTAGAATTCAATCCATGGATTCTGTTCTTGGATCACTGGAGGGTGCTCGCTCTTTTTATTTCTTCCGTGATACTTCAGAGGGTCATGGAGGCAGATTGGCTTGTGGGCTGGGTGTCCAATTGCAGTATCAACATTAGTTTACATTTAGCAAGTTGTTTTGATTTTAACTTTGAATAAATAAAATATTCCTATTTTACTATTATTTAATAAATAATGACGTTTCAGATTGATAATATGGTAAAAATCACCAAGCAGATGGCTAAAAGCCAACTTGAACGAAGAACCAAAATAACAGCTTACGATCTCTGGTTGGAGAAACTTGAAGAAATGACTCATGGGGTTCCTGATATACGAGTGATCACTCCACATCTTACCAATAACAAGCTCCAGGTAAGATATGATTGACAGCACTATTTTACACTCATGTCTGTAGCTGGTGTGGGACTGAATACATCCCATGAGCTTGTCAGCTACTGGTTTAATGAGGCACATGTTTGATCATTATATTAACATTGCAGTGGTAAAATTTTCTAAGTCACACACCCTAATTAAAGCTGACTAACCCATTGTTCATATCTAGTTGACACTCAAGTCATGTGAAATAGCTGTTGATTTCTAGACTACAACTCGCACTATCCTTCCAATTTATTAAAAGTTCATAAATTGTGAGATCCACTGAATGTACTGATGAACTTCATAGTACTGTACTGAACTTGTACAGTATTCTTAAGTTGTGGACAAATTGCTATGTCTGTAGACATTGATGTGATCCTTACCTGTTGCATTAAATCTGTAATATTTGATTTCACTTTTCACCAAGTTAACTCTACAGTACAGTAAAAAAAAACATGATTCGTACTCCCCTTATTCAAAGTCACTCATAATTCGTAATGTTTTGTTGTTACAAAATATGTTAAAATTTCGTAATATTTGGTAAAATATTACAATATGTATACAGTATTGCAGTTTTTTAATTATTTGGTCAAATTTCGAATTACTACAGTATATTAGAGGCACTTACAAATATGTATGATGCACACATTGCCATTGGATGCAGCCGCCCACCTTAGTGTAGACAAGTATACAGTGGAGTCTGCATTTACACGGCTTTTGTTTACGCGTTTGGTCATTTACGCATTTACACGGTGCCTTGCCAGAATGAAATGCTTTAATTACGCGGTAAATTTGGTCATTTACGCGGGTGAAGTATAATTTGTTTACTGTATTTACTGAAGATATTTGTTTTAGCTCATAAAATTCATACAAATTACCCGGCCAGAATATAATTTACATTGCTGGAATTCTTATAAGATTGTGATTATTTTAAATATAAACATCATGGAATTTGCATTATACTGTACATACAAATTTTAGATCTAAAGTAAGAATTTTGATTAGAAAGAGCAAAAATTTTATCTTTTGTGCAAAATATATGACGTTTATATTCAAAATATTCCTGGTCTTGCAAGGAATCCAGCAATGTCAATTATATAATCCTAACTTTAGTCTGAGGTATTATTTATTACTAAAAATGTAAGCCTACTGTTTTCACCCAAACATTTCTCAGAGAGGGGGGAGCCAGCGAGCGTGGGAAGAGGGGGGGGGGGAGTTGAGTCCATTATTTGATTGGACATTAACTGAGCGACTGTATTTCTCTTAAATATTAATTGTGTGTGCATACCATCATAAAATTAAGATGCTATTTTCACTACAACGTACGTATTGTGTCGGAATAAGTGGAGTTTGGGGGTCGGCCCAGTCTCTATTTCAATTAATCCCATATGTTCTGTTATTTCATTTACGCGTTTCTCATTTTACGCGGGCCTCCACGGGTTCAATTGACCGCGTAAATGCAGACTCCACTGCATGCGTGTCGATCAGTTCACGTGGGTCACTCATGGAGTGCACGTCTATGGTGTACCACGCAAGCTTTTTCCACTTGATTTTCCATCATTGCCCAGTGTTTGACCCATTATGTCTCATAACCCTAAATCTGGTACTGTACTTAGAAATTTTAAAATTTTGATTGGGGTAAATAACGGAGAAGTACTGTTGTTTTGTTTGTTATTCCTTCGGGAGAAGGTGTCCCTCATAATTCGTAAAATCTCATAATTTATATGGGATAGAGCCCCTATTATTTGGATTTATGGGTTTTTTACTGTATGTCAATTGGGTAACATACCAGCAACAATACTGTACTGGGTCCTTGTGATTATTAGGTTCCAGAATCATTCTGCTGACCACTTAATAATGCAAAATCCCTATCAGTCAAGCTTATGGGGTCTTCTAATCAATATGTTGATTATCCCACTACACATCTTTACACATTCCTGATAGGTATACTGGTACAACTCCATAATTCACCTAGTTTGTGACCTTTATGTGTAGGGGTATTCCATCCTCAGGATGTGGTATACAAGAGGTGAATCAGTTCACATTAACAAAAAATTCTGAGTTACAATATTAGATACCAGCATCTTTGCTCTGAATTGAACTTCAAGCTGGGTAGTGCTGAAACAAATTGGCCAGTTATTCCTGGGTTGCATCTACACTGCCTAATCCACAATGCATTGCCATCCCCTTTCTACTGTAGTTTCATATTGCTGCTTCTTTTTGTTCCTACTGTATGTGCATCTTTAAGTTTTAAACAAAATTTTAATTAATGACAGTATTTTTTTTCCTTTTTGTTGTGATTGACATATATTTCTTCCCACAGGAAGACTTGACTGATGACTTCATACAGAACAGCGTCACTCTGCTCAAGCGCTACCGAACCCTGATGTACACTATGTATTATAATTCAGCAAAAAGCCCTGAAGTATTGTATGTTATAATTGTTTTTTATATGTCTTCTATTTCCTGATATTACTGAAATTATACAAAACAAAATATTTATATGAATGTATTAACAATACATCCATCCATAATATAGTAATCTGGATTTACACCATCAAGTCATTGTTTCAGCTTTTTATAAATGTTATCAGTTTTACACTTTATTAATGGTTACAATCACCATCTGGCAAAGTGATGATAAAATGTTGTGGGTCTCCTCTTGTGCTTCCCCAGCATTAGTCATTACCTCACAAGCTCAATTTTTAAGTTTAATCCAGTAAAATAAAACATTTAACCTGGTACTGTACTACTATTTTATTTAGTTAATTGAAACTTAGAGAAGTAAATTGTTTTCACTGTATCTGCAGATGGAAGTTATTTAAATACAGTATTTAATATATTAATCAGGTAACCTTATTCCAGGTGGAATCACTTCCTCCTGCCAGATGATGTTCATGCAGTTACTGTGTATCCTCTTAACACATTCTGTAAGTGGCTCTCAAAGTTGAAAGAAGCTTCAGATTAATTCACCCTTTAAATATTTCATATACTGTACATTGTAATATTTTAGCACAGTAGAGATGCAATTACTCGTGAAATACAAATTCATGTCCATAAATTTGCTGGTACGTATCTATTACTACCTCTTTTAAAGATTTTGCAGTCAAATATTCATAATTTGTGAGTGTTTGACACTCTGTGCATGCCAATGCTACAAAAGAAACGACAAAAGTTGTGGAAATATCATTTCAGTACTGTACTCTAATGTGATTTAGAAATAAAGAAAATATAATGTAAAAGTATGAAATGAAAATAATGGAGAGTTGGAAGTGAGTTTTCTGTGGAAGAGGTGGGAGGTAGACCAGGTGGGTGGGTGGAATGTAAGGACAACTCCCCTCACTTGTCATTGTTACATTGCACCCCCTTTAATACGTCAGTATGCAATCTCATCATAATTCCCATATTATTTACCCGGTAGGTTCATTTGGTGCTGCATTAAAAAAATATTATCATAAAATACTTAATAAATTTTTTTGAATAAAACTCCCACATTCCCCCCAGTTGACTTATTCTTAATAAATTCCCAATGTTTTATTATGGTCTAGTATGTGTGGTCTACTATCATGGTCTAGTATGTGTGGTCTACTATCATGGTCTAGTATGTGTGGTCTACTATCATGGTCTAGTATGTGTGGTCTACTATCATAGTCTAGTATGTGTGGTCTACTATCATGGTCTAGTATGTGTGGTCTACTATCATGGTCTAGTATGTGTGGTCTACTATCATGGTCTAGTATGTGTGGTCTACTATCATGGTCTAGTATGTGTGGTCTACTATCATGGTCTAGTATGTGTGGTCTACTATCATGGTCTAGTATGTGTGGTCTACTATCATGGTCTAGTATGTGTGGTCTACTATCATGGTCTAGTATGTGTGGTCTACCATATATAAGTGCTTGTACCTACAGCACAGTGTCACATCTCATAAGGCAATTTTGTTACTACAGTGATCCCATATGGAGCTTTAGAGGCTCCATTCTTCTTCGATAATGTACCGCTCTACATGAACTATGCCGGGATAGGCCACATGATTGCTGAAGAGATCGCTCATGGCTTTGATGTTACAGGTTAGTGATGTTGATCTTGTAGCTCTGATACATTTTATTACTGTACAGTATAGTACAGGTATTTGGTTTATTTCAAAACATTGCATTTATATGGATAGTCCTGTGAACCTTTAAAGTTAACTTATACCATTGTCTTCAGGCATCAAGTACAATGGAACTATGAAAAATGATATAGACCCTGTCATGACTTCAGAATGTCTGGAAAACCAAATAAGTCAGCATTATGAGTCCAGTGATCTTATTTTTAATTACAAGGTGAGTTTTTTGTGTGCACTTATATTTTTTGTAGTACTGTATTGTAATATCTTTGATTAGGGCATGTTTTTTTTTAACTCTGGTTCAGCATGTGGCTTAAAATTTTATTTCATGAAAGGGAATGGAATTTTTCCAGATACAGTATGTGTACTGGTATGTATAGTATACTGAAAAGTGCACTACTGGAATATATAAACTTAAACCTTCATAATTCATAGCTCCAGACAGAAAACTGGCTCAGGCTTATGAGGCAGATATTGGACACAGTAAGACCCCTCCAAGTCGGACTATATGGAGCTCAAGGCTGTCAGACTTATCTAGAATTCTGACTTAAGACATAGCCTCCTGCTAGGTGTTTCCAACCGTACAGGTATATATTAACACAGCACTTAAATTGTAGCACATGAATTTTGAGGTGGAAGATGGGCCCCCACTCCTCATCGTCTTCCACAGTTTATATTTAGTTAAACTTATATTTATGGCAGTATGCACTTAAATCTAGCTAATGTTAAAAAATTTACCCTGCTGAAGCCCAAACTCTTCACAAATAACATTCATGGAGACCCAAACATCGATTCTGACTCATAACTTGAGCTTCTCTTCAATTAGTAAAGTTCTGAACACCATTCCTCTTCTACCAGTGGTTTTCACTGGTGTTGTTATGTCTATGGTTGTTTGAGAGGCCATAATAATACACCAGGGAAGCACTAAACATGAACAAAACACAGAGTTCATAGTGGAGCAGTAAAGCTGAAATTATCTACAAAGTAATACATACAGGTTGGCAACCCTTTATCCGAAATTCCAAAAACCGAAAAGCTCTAAAAACCGAAAGATTTTTTGTGGGCATTTTTTTTTTTTTTTTTTTAAACAGGGATTAGCCCACCCGGGCATAGACCACTGACCCACATCGGGGCCTGGGGGGCGAAAATGTAATAGTAATAATAATTATAATAAAAGTTGTGTGTGAGACAGCTGTCGTAAGGTGATCGATCGTTTGTAGATCTTATTAACTTATGGGGGAAAATAGGTTTCGTTCCTGAAACCCTGAAGAGCCAGCTTTATCACCAAGTGTTTATTTTTCAACTCATAATTTCAGGTAGACATACTACATATTTTTTTTTTTTTTCCAGTACTACCCCAGTTAGTGTTACCCCTGAGAGTGCTGTTTCATGATAGCACTATTGCTTGCATCTTGGAGTACAAAGGAACAAAAAAAAATCCATAACAGTAATCAAAAGTCACGAGTCTGAACACTTACACCATGCCAAGATCTGCTTTGTTTGTTTTTACTCACTCGGCCAATCAGCTGCAGCAATGTTGATGAACCTAAGTTTTGGTGATGTTACCAGTTTTGAATGGTTGTATCTGAGAGAAATATTAAATCATAGATAATCTATGTGTATGCCAAATGAAAGGCTAACTCAGTTGACTCCTTGTCCATGTCATTATCTTTTGCTTCTTCTGCAGTTATCTTCTTGTATAAAAATTGAGGCCTATGTTCATCTCACATACCATTGTCTGTGTTTAGGTGTATGATTTGGGGTTCGAAGATTATTTCTGGCTATTGCATATGTGGTATGTACTGTACTATCATTTTTACAGTTGTTTTCCTTCACAACATCTAACCAAATTTTTCCTCTGGCTAGGTTGACAAGGACCTGGCGCGTGATGAGGTGATCACAAACTCTGCAGCAATCCGCTTAGCTTGGGAGGCTTACCTTACTGCAGGTGAGTGTCCTGGGCTTGGAAAAGAGCATATCCCTGATACATGCTCGAGAAACTCTTCCGTAAAAGCTAGTGTGTGTACACTCAAAAGGTCTGGCCGATACTGGTCAGTGCCAGCTAGAGGTACCTGAGCAACCAACTTCCCCACACATCTGGTGAGGTCACAGGTCAGGGACCTGCCATGTTATCGTCTAGGGCCGAGACGATGGCACCATCATCTCCTCACTTAGTACACAACAGCACTTTCTCATTACTCTTATCACCCTCCCATAATTGCAATAACACTGCGTGAGGGCGGCAATAACACCCACATTGGACAAATAAAAGACTAAATCGGGGAGCTGGTATACTAGAACTCTTCAGCCAACTAACAGAACAAAGCAAGGGAGAAAGACACAGAACATGGGAATCATGTCACATAATGTGTCTCCTGAGTTGAGGAAGGGTGGGGATTAGAGATAATCTTTTTGATGAGAGTATTCAGGGTCAGGTCTAGGGTCCACTAACCATATGCCAGGTTAAAGTTAGGTTTAGACTTCATAAATGAAAATTCTACACTTTTTCTACTGAAGCTAAAATTGAACTTATAAATCATTATAAATCACAGAACTATTATTCCAATCTATTGCATTAGATTGGAATGTAAGTGTTACGTTTATTTATTAATGTATTACACCTAGTTATTTTATTATTAATGTATGTACATTTAAAAAATAATTATTTTTGCACAGTAATTATAAATAGAATATTTTATGTGGTAAACCAAGGCGACTTTTCAAAACAGCTTGGTTATTTCAGATTCATTCTGAATTAAGCTGAAAACGAATTGTAATGATCCGAATTAACGAGGGTACTGCGTAGTGCACTTTCTTCCCTTCTGTTCTTTATGGTATTGCTTCACTGGAATTTGGAGATGTTTCCACCATGACCTGTCTCTGAGAGGATTTGTGATGCCCGTTGTTACTGGAGTTCTGGTTATTCATGATTGCTCACAAAAGACGTTTCAGGATATCACCAATAAACTGTCAGGTCAGTGTTTGGTTCAGTTACCAATTCTGCTGTACACCTGGAGTGCCTCTCCCAGGGCGTATCCTCTGTCTAATTCTAGAGCTTAGGTAGTACCACCTCCCACTTAGTGAGTTGACTAATGTAAGCTAGAAATGGGGGGGGGGGGGGCGGATCCAGAAATTCTCTTTTTCAAGAAAATTGTAGCCAACTGGCTCAGATACCCTTCCTCTTCCACTGGGTTCTTGTATTACCAGCTGGAATTCAAGATGTTAATTGGCATTCTGTTCCTAGAATGCAACCTTTGAATTTAATTTTCTTCATTCAGGCCAATGGATGTGACAGGGAGGGATAGGTGATGATAAGATCAGCCCCAGCTGTCAAGTTGGGTAAGGTGTAATGACCTTACCCCTCATTCCAAGCATATCCAGTACCAAGAGGTGCTTGGTATAGGTTTTGCTAGAAAAAAGTTTTCATGGTCACTCCTTCATTTATGGCTGAAGAAGATTCAAATCAAGAATTTTTTAATCAAGGCCAATCTATTTACGTTAGTTAACCTAAATCATTGCTGGACCCTGAGTGTGATGATCTGGAATCAGAAGGATGAGGAGTGAGTTGTTCTCTCTGTAGCAAAATACTGTACACTGTATCCTCGTTAAATTCGGATCGTTACAATTTGGATTTTGGGTTCATTCATATGTTTGTTTTTTAATGAATTAAACGATCAGAATTCGGAATGAATCTGAAATAACCGAGCGGTTCCAAAAAGTTTATTTTTATTATAGGAGTATATTTTGATGAATGAATTATACTGTACAAAACTATGTTTGGATGCATAGCCAGGAAGAGGAGGAGAGAGGAGAGGAAAACTCACTTCCCGTGCTTGTCAGCCCGCGAGCCCTTTATAACGACAGTATGAAATATCACTATGATTCCCATATTATTTTGGTTCATTTAGTGCCGAGTTAATAAGACATTATCGAAAAATAATTTATTTTCCAACAAAAATCCAACACGCAATCCCAGATGAGCTATTGCACCATAGTGTATTCTAGGTCTCTTGTTTACATAGCTATAACAACTGATCATTACTACTCTCCCTAACACTGTTGCCAGCACTATTGTTGTCACTGCTCACGAGGGTGGGTGCTTACCATAGGATCTGTCTTGAGCACTTTGTAAATAATATTGTAGAGTATTTATCAGAACTTAATAAATATTATTATAGTATATAATGCATCTCCATATGCCCTGGTTTATTCACTGATCAGTTGTTTAAGTGCATAAGTAGCCAAATCAAGCCATCATTTATCACTTAATTTTAAATTAGAAATTAGAAATTACAATGTTAAAAGACAATGGTTTAGCAGTGCTGCTAATGTGTGTGTTGTATAAGTGCCTTGTCATGTCACTGCTGATCCTGCCTCATCAGCTCATCTCTCACCTCATCAACTCACTTCGCAGTGTTACATTTATTTATTATTGTATGTACAATCAAGGACAAAAGTCGTGTCACGGTTTTGTCCGAAGATTAAATATAACTCGTGAAACATTATGAGAGCCCCCTACCACAAGGCAGAGCACACCAAAAGTTTTAGCCCTTCGGCATATGTTTTCACCAAATTTCACGACACGACTTTCGTCTTTCATTGTACATTTAACAAAATATTTATGGTTGCACAGCAATTGTAAATGGACTATTTTATGTGGCAACCAAGGCAAGTTATTTTATGTTGCAACCAAGTTAAGTTATTTTATGTGGCTGCCAAGGCAAATTATTTTATGTGGCAGCCAAGGCAAGGCACAAAACCTGAACAGAAAACGAACAAAAAAATTTAGTAATAGTCAAATTATATAAAATTATTCTGAACTCGGTTATTTCAGATTTTTCACTAATTCCAGTGCCCAGAGCCCTTTTTTACGAATCGAATTAACAAGAATATAGTGTAGATGATTTTTGGCTTTGTCCATCAGGTTAGTGTGATCTGTTATTAAACTATATGCCCTCTCTGGAGTACAGAGAAAGTATTTATCATCTCACAGGTCTCGTGCACCAACATGTGGGTTCAAAGTAAAGGTTTCCTTTATATCAGTGCTGTATATTTGTGTATCGTGGAAAAATATTGACTATAACTCTTGTCTTCCACAGTGACATCTCAGCCATTAACAACTATGGAGGCACATATTCTTGATGGTAAGTGAACACATTTGTTCAAATCAGCCATATTACACATGACTCATATTATATGTTAAGTGCATTAACTGTCCTCAGGGCTTTATAGATGCTTATACCCTTCACATATATAATCACCTAAGAATATATTTAATATTTTCAGATACTCGTACGGATGCTCGACGTCGACGGTCATTAAATTTGTACCCAGGACTTGATGCCAGTTCAACACGAGCCAAGCGGGAAACTTATTCCTATATCATGCCCAAAACAAACACAACAGAGAAACAATTACCTTATCTATCCTTAATGCCTCTACAGACTTACTTTGTCCGTTATGTTCAGGTAGTGTGAACTAATTACTGTACTCTTTTACTTTTAGTATTTGGGTGGCAATAGGTTACACAACTTAGAATAGTTGGTAATCCAACAATCATGTATTTAGTCCCTTATGATGTGCAGATACCTGTACAGACAGACCCCAGTTTACAAGAGGATTACATTTTTGAAAAATTTATTGTAAATTGAAAACTAGTAAATAAATAAATGGTTAACATGTTTAAATATTGCAAGACAATTGATTTCTTATATCATTAGTTATACTGTATCTAGTTCAGTAGTTAATACAGTCCTTCCCATAGTGCAAAATATAAGTGGCTTGTATGTCTTCAGAACCACTGCAGTGCAAGCAGCGAGATAGATATGTTATCTGTTATGGAGAAAGGGCAGTTACCAGCCAGACTGAGGTACAGTAATAATCATGCTTTCTTGATAATTTTTTGTTTATTCTTACAAAGATATATTATCTATAGCCTTTTCTTTTTCAGTATTTGTAAAACTCATGAAAATTAAAGTATTGTACACGGTAATATAATAACTGATGTGTTTACTGTTATAGCTTATGAATACTTGTCTGTTTTTCCAGGATGAACATCATTCTGAAAAATGAGCCTCTGTTTGCTGAGGCCTTCAACTGCCCAGCTGCATCACCTATGAATCCTGTGGACAAGTGTCCCTTCATCCTAGGATAAGCTATAACCATGTTAAGAGTTGCACATTTACAATTAGTATTACAGTTTTTGTATATTTCATTTTTAGACTGAGTTGACTAAAATTACAGGTTAGTAACGGATGTGGCACTTTGTTCCTACAACAAAAGATGTTTTTATTGTGAAAAGCATATTACTAAGAATGGAGTGTTATGACCACCTTTCATGTCTTAACTTATTTTTTATCTATGTCTAAAGCTTTAGGATATATATATATATATATATATATATATATATATATATATATATATATATATATATATATATATATATATATATATATACATACGACCGCCCCAGTCGTACCAATTTTTTTTTCAAATTACGTATTTTCGAGTCCCGACGTTAGTGATGGCACTGTGTACTGACAAAATTTTCGTTTGTAATTCCCTTTAAAATGCCTGGCAAGCTTAAAAGTGAGAGTTTTGTGGTGCTGAGAAGAAAAAGAGACACCCATTTTAGATTTTCTATGTATTATTTTCGCATTTTCGACTTACGACCTGGATTTGGGTCCCTAACCCCGTCGTAAGTCAGGGACTGCCTGTATATATATTTCATGTAGATCCACAATGAAAATGTGGATAAGATAAATCTTGATAAAATCACACAGGGAAAAGGGAAGCAATGGAGCACCTTAGCTTTTGTCTTTATTCAAGACATCTTCAGAGGCAACTGAATTACATGGACTGAGAGAGGCTTAAGTACACAGGGTGACCTTACTAAACATGAGGTCAGGTCATAAACATGACATCCACTAATCCGCACACCAACACCACCACACACGCAAAGGAGCTTAAGAAAAAGGGCGATACCAAAGAAAACCTGCCTCGTTCAATTATGCCACAGTGGATAATAACCTTTTTACATTTGACCCAAGAAAAGTGCACTACTCTCCTGCTGTGGCACCAGTCCTGCCAGAGTAAGGTTGATAATTAACTGGCAGATGAGGAATAATTCTGATAATTAACTGGTAGATTAAAATGGTCAATAATTCTGGTGGACAAGAATTAGATTGGTAATTAACTCAAAGGTGAACTCAAATATAATAATTCACTGGTAAATGAGGATAAGGTTGATAATTATATGATAAAATAAGGTTCATAATTAATAGGTGGGTAAGAATATTAATGATAATTAACTAAGATGAAAATGTGGTAAATAATTAAATAGATGATACAGTAACAAGCTTGACACTTTACTGGTTTTGTGAAAGAAAGGATGTTAGTGGTTAGTTGAGAGTTTGGTTGAAAATTAAATAACTGATGAAATTTAGGTTGGTACTGTATTTAAGTACAGTACAGTACTACAGTAGTAAGTGAAAGTGAGGTTGGTAATTAAGTATACCTGTACTGTGCATAGTAAGTGAAAGTAAGGTACAATGACCTTCTTGAAGAAAGTGAGGTTGATAAGTAACTAGGTCATAAATATTTAAGTTTCACATATCCCTCTACCAGGCCTTATGCAAAGGTGTGGAGTCTGGGCATTGATATGAACATGGCTGGGCGTACCTAAAGTGCTGATCACCAATCACAGTGTACTAAATAGAAACAGAAGAAAGTTGAAACAGCCACAGGAATAATTTTAAAATGTCAGAAGTTAGAATAGATATTGATAAGCTCTTTATTGTATTTATATTGAGAAATTTTTCCCAAAAACAGTCAAAATTGCTTGAGATCCAAAAAGGAAGGATTACCCTGACATGGAATACTCATAAAATTTTGTTGGTTTTGATTATTATACATCTACCTATCACTTCAGTTTTGTAAGAGTTGGGTATATATAGCCTGTGTACAGTTAGACCACAAATTACTTTTACCCTTTTTTGATGTCAAACCAGTGAAAAATTATCTTTTATCTGGCTTCAAATTGGCAGCCCTGCTTTCATTATATGGAAATATGTGGAGCTGCCAGTGACACCACCCTTCTCACTTGTCATAATGTAATTTCCTTGTCTGTGTAATCCTAAAATGGTTAAGTTTATTGTACAGTAAATCAAAGAATATAAGCATTGTGAATGTTTTCTTCTCTTGACTTAGTCATTATTGAAAAACAAATACTGTAAAATATGAAAATTATTTGAATATTAATAAAAAAACAAGAATCAGAAAATTGTCACAATTACGTTTACCAACCCTATCAAAATGACAGGAGTGATAGTGTTCATCGCATCCTGCGGTAAAAGTAATTAAGTCTCACTGTACACTTCTAAGTGCAAACATGAAATGGTCACACCTAAGTTAATAAAATTAGGTTATAGTTATACAGTACAGGAGGTCTCTGGGTTACATTTGTTTGACTTACGAACATCCGCCAATATGAACGTGGTTAAACTTTAAATTTACAGTACAGTATACCTGTATTTTATTTACCCGATGACTTATTTTTTACTTTCATTTACTGTACTTTGTCATTCTATTTATTCTTTTCTCTTAAATTAAGTGATTTTAGATGTATATAATGACTTAGGCTATGATAAAGTGGGACTTAAAAAAAAATTATGTAAGTATGGTATGCATAAGATATGTGGTTTGACTTAGTACATTTTTGACGTATGAACGGAACTCGTACGTAACCCAGCCTGTATAATGCGTCACATGCTGGAGCTCACCACTTGTGCATACGCAATCTAAATAAATTTTAAATGTGTACAAATGTCATTATTATGTATGCAAGCTAGGATATGACCAGCTCTAGCTAAAAATGTTTGAGTGGTGGAATTGGGTCTGTAGCCACATCCAAATTTTTTCTGTACTGTGCTACCAAACACGGAGGTACTACCGCCTGGGAAGATATTGGAAGCATAATGTATTGTCTCATGGTAGACCCTGCTGCCATATGGCATCACGAAAATTGTGACCAAGTCCCAGGTTGCTGATCTAACTTTCTGCCTCATTTACACACAATTGCAGGGTCTCAATTGTTTCTCTTACTTTGACAACACAACATACATAATGTGTATCATTTCTGACTTCATTTATTTTTTATTTTTCGTATTTATTTATGGTTATTATTATTATTATTATTATTATTATTATTATTATTATTATTATTATTATTATTATTATTATTATTAGGGCCCGGATAGTTATGCACTAAAAAACCATGAAATATGCATGCAAATGTGCACTAAAAACAGGGGAAATATTCATTTATATGCACTAAAAATGTCACTTATAAAGCCAAGAATGCAGGTTATACGGAAACAAAATAGTTAATATAAACTAATGTTAATGTTTATTAAGCAATATACGTAATGTATTTAACATATATATGTGAAAGTGCTTCAAAAAATATATATGAACACCATTAACCAACGAAATTGCCGAGGACAGCAGTAGTCCCCTTTCTTCAAGTCTAGTAATTGTTGATGAGATGCACGCAAAATTCGTTGCAATGAAGAGCAAGCTTTCCTTTATTCCTTCAGTTTCAAGTAAGATCTTGCTTTCCTGAATGCTCTGAGCCTCCTCAGGGTCGAATGTCGCAATAACAGCTTCAATGACGTCGAAGTTTTTCCCATAGTACGTTGCAGCATCGATCCAGCTTCCCCATCTTGTCACCACAGGTGAAGGAGGAAGTGGTGTACTTGGAGCGATTTCTGAAAATCTCGCAGTTCGAGAAGGTGCCTTGAGAAAGATTTTCTTGACGTTGGCTATCAGTTGATTTACATCTGGGTATTTTGACCTAACCAGTTCTGCTACACGATGCAGACCATGGGCCACACAGGTCACATGGATCATTTTTGGATACAATACTTGCAGTCCATTCAATGCTTTGCACATGTAAGGTGCAGCATCAGTGCACACCAAAAGAACATTTTCATACTCTAACTTCGTTGGCCACAACAATTGCAGAGAATCGTAGAAGAAACCAGCAACAGTGGAGTGGTTGACTTTAGATAGTACACCAACATTCACTAGGTAGTATTTGCCTCGCTCTGTTTCATCTCCCAACACACCAAAAATAAGATTCACAATACACCGTTGCTCAACATCAGTGGTTTCATCGAGTGACACCCATATTTTCTTTCCACAAGCCTTTCTCCTTATGATTTCCATCGTGTCCTTGAACAATTGTGAAACATAGTTCTTACGTAATGTTGATTCGTCAGGCACCTTTTTTCCAGTATACTGTTCCAGGAATGACTTTAGGCACTTGTTATTCAGTTTATGCAATGGAATATCCGCTGAAACAAATGCCTTGCACAAATCTGCGTTGAACTGGGAGCGATCAGGCCCTGACTTACTGGAACATGCAAGAAGTAGTTGTTGCTCCTTTTGTGCACTATTGGACTTAACAGCTTCGAGTCGGATGTGCTTGCTTGTTTTAAGGTGTTGTTGGACTTGAAATTTCTTGCTCGCTGTCACTGGTGCTTCACAATATTTACAAAACAGTACACTTCCATCAGTAGTAAATGCATCAAATTCCTTTACATATGATCTCAGCACTTCATTTTGGTTTCTTTGTACTTTCGGCATTTTCACGAGCAGCAGAAGAGAGTAGCTCCACACAGCAGCACTGCTCCTGACTGACTAACTCACTAGTCCAATGAGTCATGACCAGGTGTGGAAACGACAGATTAAAGCGACGTGACCTCACCTCACTTCACCTAACCACACCTCACCTCACCTCCCAGTACCACGTGTGCTCATTCAGTGGCAACAAAGAGATACTGCCAGATGAATATTTTACCAAAATATGCATTTATATGCAGTTATCTAGGTAATATGCACTTATCATAGAAATCACGCAAAATATGCATTTGCATATGAAATATGCAAATGCATAACTATCCGGGCCCTAATTATTATTATCATCAATTGTTTGTATTTTTTATTATTATTTTTATACAGTACAAGTATGTTATTAATTTAGTTATTATTATTATTATTATTATTATTATTATTATTATTATTATTAGTATTACTACTACTACTACTACATTTTCGCCCCCCAGGCCCTAATGTGGGTCAGTGACCTGTGCCCCGGGTGGGCTAATGCCCGTAAAAAAAAAAAACTAACCTTTCTAATTATATAATGGAAGAATGAAGTTCTTTGGATAATTTCTAGTTTATTACAGTACTATCTGTCTGAATGTAACTTAATAATCTACCTTCCTGCATCAGTGATCTCATCACTGCATACATTATTTTTGTTAATTGCATTAAGAGTGCTAAAAATTATTCAAACATTGGATGTTTTGAAGCATTGTTGGTTCTGTAGCCATAAAATCAAGTTTATATGTAATAATAATAACAACAGGAATACTGATATAAAATAAATATAATTATATTTTTAGTATTAGAAATGTACATACAGTACTGTATACAATGCACTACAGAATGTATAAATAAAAACCAAAAGGGTCAGATATGCATAAATAGATGCAGCATAAATATAAATTTGATAATTTAAAAGCAAGAGAGATCATTATCAAAATTTAAATATTTGAGGATGTGCAGACAAACTTTATTAGTCATATTGTCACCCATGTTGAGCCTTACTCCAATACACCATCACAATGTAACATAATTCTCTTTTGATTGTGTTTTTTCAATCTGGATTGTAGTTCAGTTGTTTGTGTTTTTCCAGTTTGCCTTTACTTAGGGGTTTGGTGTCTGTCAAATCATCAGGGTTAATTACAGTTTTCCATGTGAAGGTGTAAACGCATAAAAGGTGAAAGATCACATCAATAGGTTTCTGAAGTACAGTACAAGTTTTTGAAGAATTGAAATGGTGTAAAATTAAACTGAAAGGAAGAGTCTTACTCACTGTTGGATGTATTTATAGATCCTCAAATTGCTTTATCAATTGACTGGAGGAATGACATTACACCAGTTGACCTAAATAATCCTGCAACTCTTTTTGTAGAAAGTCTGAAAGAGAATTTCTTATTACAACACCTTAAAGATGCAACTCACTGTAGAGGGGAACAAATGCCAACACCACTGTATCTCATTATAAGTAACAAAGAGAGTATGGTGGCCAAGTTGGAACAATTAACCACCCATTGGCACCAGCCATCACATATGATGTCCTTCAGATTAAACTGTTACTTGATACATAATGAGAGCAGGCCAAGGTTCAAATACTACAATGGTGATTACAACAGGATGAAAGTGGAAATATCAGGTACAGGTATTCACTGGCCTGACTTGTTGAGAAATAAGAACATGGATACTACTCTGAATACCATACAGTGATCCCTCGGTTAACGAGATTTCGGTTAACGAATTACCTTTATGAGATTCTTAACTTCGGTTAACGAGCAATCCCTTGATTAACGAGTTTTTAACGAGCGCCCTTCCACATGTTTTCGCTTGCATTTGGTGGTCCACCAGCTGTAGTATTAGTCCGCCAATACAGTAACGACTCTAGGGCTTAAATTCCTTACTATTTTAGTAATATCAAGAAGTTTGTACTATTCAATAATTTTAAAAGATGTATATTAAATTTTTTAGTCATTTTAACAACTATTGAACATAATTGAAGTATAGGAAGCTAGTTTTTTGCGCGCCAAAAAGCCTGTCAACACACCATACAGGCGTCAGTCTCTGTGTCTTTTCAGTGGAGGTAACATCTTGCTTGAGACTGTCTTCAATTACTGTAAATGCTTATTTTCTGTTTCCAAGCAAATTAGTGGTCAATTTGAAATTTATTTTACATATTGACACAATATAATGCAGTGCAGTGTTGATTTAAAGAAAATAATCTTGAATTACATCAAGAGAACTAAAATTTTATGGGTGAAATGGCACCATGGGGTGACTTCTCTTCCACCCCAATGCCTTCTCTTCTCCCTTCTCCTCCACCCCCATTCTAATTCCCATCATCATCATCATCCAGGAGCCTTCTACATACACACCTCAAAGTAAGTGTACTTTACGACCTTTTTTGTTGATTTTCGGTGAGCTGGAACCAATTACCCAAAAACCCATTGAAACAATGGTTTCGGTTAACGAGCAACCTTCTGGAACAAATTGTGCTCGTTAACCGAGGGACCACTGTACAGTAAAGTGAGCTATTTGATTAATAAGTATCAGTATACCCAAGACCAAGCCCACTGACTCAAGAAAAAGTTTCAGAATTTCAGTACAGTGATCCCTCGGTTAACGAATTACCTTCCATAAGAATATTCAATTCGGTTAATGAATTCCTTACGAATTTTTACCAACATGTTTTAGCCTGCTCGCCAGCTGTAGTATTAGTCTGCCAATACAGTAGTCAGTTTTGGGGCTTAAGTTTGTTACCATTTGAGTAAATATCAAGAAGGTTGTACTATTCAATAATTTTCCAAGTCTTATATTAAAATTTTTAGTCATTTTAACAATTATTTAACATAATTGAAGTACAGGGAACTAGCTTTTAGCACGCCAAACAGCCACTTGACTCACCCAGAATGGCGTCAGTTTGTGTCTCTGCTCAGTGGAGGAAGCATCTTGCATGAGACTCTTGAACATAAACTATTTTTACAGTACAATTATTCGTCATTCTGAAATTTATTTTACATACTGACAATATACAGTGCAGTGCAGTGTTGATTTCAAGAAAATAATCTTGAATTACACCTAGTGAACTTAAAATTTTATTGGTGAAATGGCGGCATGAAGCATGGGGTGCCTTCTCTTCTCCACCCCCACTTCTAATTCCCATCATCATCAACCAGGAGCCTTCTAAATGCACACCTCAAAGTAAGTGTATTTTACTGCATTTATTTTTTGTTTGTATATAATTTTCGGTGAGCTGGAACCAATTACCCAAAATCCCATTGAAACAATGGTTTCGGTTATCAAACGACCTTCTGGAACAAATTGTGTTCGTTAACCGAGGGACCACTGTAGATGGAACACAACAAATGATGAACAGGATTGAAGGATGTATGGTATTTCCAGGAACCAAGCCAAGTCAGATTGTAGAAGGGCTGAAAAAGAGTTCCAGAGAATTGTATATTTATGGCAAAAGAAATATTTCAGACAGTTCTTAATAAGTACACTGCAATACCTTCATTCTTGTTTCTTGACCTCCAGCAGAATTTAACAACCTAACAATGGTTTGTTTGTTGCAAATGTAGAAGACTTGCATTATCCCTCATGCACACACAACTGTGGTATGAATGCTCATTAATTTTAGAGTTAAAGGTGAATAATTAGAATAACTTGGTGAATATTTTTATTGAGTCAATATATATACTGTACTGTACACACTTTTAATCATCTTGCAGTCATGTGTCATCTTAATTTTACTTTGCCATTATATTTCATTTTGTTGTATTGGTATCCTTTTGATCTACCACTTCTGGTCTTCTGTACAACCATACTGTATCAATACCCTCTCCAATAGTAGTATTTGGTTGCCACGATGGTAGAGGAAAACGGCAAGCAACAACACAGCCATCTGGTTTCAGCTCTTGTGCCAGTTTGGATTCCAATTCTAGCATCTGCAAGGATAGTTTGATTGTGAAGACTGTACAGTATCTTACTGTCCAAGTACACGTGGTATTTTTCCAAACACAAGCAACAAGGAAAAACTTGGTAACAAATAATTACTTCATCAACTCGTCAAATAATGGCATGTATGTACAGTACCTATTACCGGTAATGATATTTATTTAGTTTTTATATACCTTCCCTTACATAGCCAGGTGTGTAAAAAAAAAAAAAAAATTGTGTAATTTTTTTCAGATGTACACTCGAGAGCCTACTGACTTGTTTTCTCCTCTTCATCACTGGTCGAATTCCTAGACGGTCACTTCTCTTTTACTCACTCTTGGCAAGTACAGTACTGTACAGGCTCTTGACTGTACCTGAATATGTGTTCACAAATGAACTTTGTTGGATGTCCTGCCTTATGTAGGGATGCAATAGTTAGTTGTACATCCCTTGACAAAACACTGTAATCGCTCATTGTTCCGCAAGACAGTACAGTCAACCCTCACTTTACGCGGTTAATTCAACCCACAGGGTACCACGGAAAGTGAGAAACGCGTAAAGTGAACAACATAACATATGGGATTAATTGAAATAGAGACCGGGCCGACCCCCAAACTCCACTTTTTGACGACACACAACCATGTTGTAGTAAAAATATTATCTTAACTTTATGATGGTATGCATACACAATTAATAATTAAGAGAAATATCAATAATATTAGGTTTTTTAACACTTACATTAGTAGAAAAGATGGCTGGGCACACGGGGATGGGCGGTTGGTTCCGAGGCAGAGGGCAGATTATTGGCCCTCACCTGTATCACTTGTATCAATTGTATCACTATCCACCACAGAGGCTTGCAGGGCCTCTTTGTCAAACCCCTCAAAGTCCATATCCTCACTATAACTGACTTGGGCCGGCTGTGGTGGGTGGCGGGTGAAGAACTCGGTAATGTTTTGATGACTGGGCGACCTTGTTAATGTTGACATGACTGCGACTTTATGGTAATAACTTACAGGCATCACACATGACTCCACTGCCAGGCGCGGCAAATTTAAACTGTCTTGAGCGTGTCAATTAAAAAATAAGTGGGTGTAAATTAGCTTTTGGTATTAATTGAACAATCGTGTTATTCCAAAAACGCTTAAATCAAACGAGCTTTTTCTCCATTTGCTACATAAGCAGGATAAGGAAATACTATTCTAAAACTATTGTAATACAGGTACATAAATACGTATAAAATTAGGACAATACTAACCATCTCTTCAACACCAAATATGACAACATTGTTATACTGATAAAGGTTCAATTTCCAAAGATCATGTGTGATGAAAGAAGTTGAAGATGAGACTCCATTCCTCCAAGCAGCCCAGCGGGAGTACCAAACTAGCCAAGGATTCAACTCTACTCCTAAACCTTTCAAATTCACTTCACGTGCAGCAGCAACCACCTGTGTGAAAAGACAGTATCGTTAGTAAAGCTATCAACGAAGAATCCTCTATGCACTTCAAGAAAATTATTCAATAAGCCAAAATCTTATTCTTGGAAACAATCACCACCACCATTTTACAGCCCTTTTCCATGTTTGCATGGGTTAGCCATAAATACCAGATGGCAGCTCTCCAAGCTGGACAGTTTTTTGCAGCCTCTCTAATCAGGGTCAGTTCTTAAAAACTCCTACTTATATCATTCTTGGCAATCCTTCCCTCCACATTAAAACTTGTGCATCTCTTGACCCAATTGTACCTGCAATTATTCTGTACTCTAGGAAAATTTAAGTGACAGTACAGTACTGTATATAAGTACATACACAGGAATAAACAGGGTCACTCACACTCACTGGGACAGGTAGAGATGCTACCATTATCCTCATTTAGTAATTATATATTTTTCTGTCTTCCATTTTTAGTTTGCAAAATATTTTGAGGAAATATTTTATAGCTTTTTCAATTGAGTAAATGTTGAAATACAGTTTCATATTTGTGATTAAAATTAAAAAATATAAAAAATAAATGAAATTAACACCAAGTACAGTAATGTTCAGGGATGTGTCTGTGATGAAAACTGCTGACACATGATTTAATGGGAATGTCATTGTGTTGCATAGAGTAGTCTCCCATGTGCATATGCTGCAGTAAGGCTGACCGATGCTACCCAGTACAAAATGCAAGGTTAGGGCTGCCAACATGTAGAGAGTCTTGCACGGTGATCAGGCTAGCATCTGACATATTGGATTCATACTGATATACAGTATCCTTGTCCAATGGGTAATCAGTGTCTGATTTAGCAAGAGTCTAACTACAGTATACTGTATGCACAAACAAATTTGATGAAAAAAGAAGAAAGTGCCAGAAACTCTAATGCAATTTACATTTGGGTGAGTTAAAACCCTAATTATCTTTCTTTAAGGGAAATGTGGCTAAGATTTCTGAGCTACCACAATATTAAATAATATGATATTTTAATATGTAGATGAGAATTCACATAGTTATGGGTACTGCTGCTTAAACAAGGTAAAGGTAACTACAGTATATTAATTACTATTATCATGTTAATTACATTATATATTATGAAAACATACAGTATTTTCATTCTGATTATACAGTACTGAACTGTACAGAATTCATATTTTATGTAGAGTACTTAAGTTACAAGTAATTTAAATATTTCTTTCACTTCAAACAGCACAATGATTATTAAGGGTAACTATCTGCACATACTGACATACTGTACACTACAGTACTGTACAGTACTCACAATTCGTCCATCACCACTCCCAAGGTCAACTAGGTGACCAGATCGACCCCTTAGAGCTTTTAAAACATTGTTGACTTGCTCAGTTGTTGCTGGAACATATGGCAGACAAACCTGTTGATATAAAATATTACAATGGAATCAACAGAGGAATATATTATTTAATGAAATTTCTATTACTATACAGTACACTTTATCTGTAAAATGTCCATGACATGATGTGAATGAAAATAAAAATAAACTGTACCTAAACACTGACCTTAACAGCAGAGGTTCAAGTTCAGCTGTTTTTAACCCGGGGGGTCCATGACAAAAAAAAAACACACACAAACAGCAGACAAAATCCCCTAGTAGAGAGAGGAGAAAAAAAAAAGCACCAGTTATAAACCCCACCCCCTACCAGACATAATCCCCACCCCAACAGCACAAAATCCTCTCATAGTAAAAAATAAAACAAAATCTATTTAAATTTTATAATAGTGAACATTATGAAATGTAATTTATATGATAAACAATAAATTAAAACTATATCATCATCAGCATTTACCTCATGTTAAAATAAGACAAAATCTAATTGGAGTTTTTATTAATTTCTTACAAATCTACTTTGACAATATCTCTTACTAAGACGATGTATGGACCAAATGAAGTGTAGTTTATACTGGACTATAGTCATATCATAAGCACTTATTATGCCCAATGCCTCTGAGCATTTCCTCCAATGCCTTGCAGCCATCTCTAAAATCAACACAGATTTCAGAAGCGTTTTTGAAGGTCTCTGGTTTCACGTCGTACACGTTTTTGAAGTGGTTGCCCTCTCACGTTAAGTGTAAGATGCATGGACACAATGGCTGCATCTTTCCTGATACACTCAATAGCAGAACAAATTGTAGGGTGAGAGTAGCCCACCAGCTGTTGGAATCCACGATTCCAACTCCCACAGAGGTTGTTGGTGCGGTATTCGTTGTCAATTGTACCTAAGTTTACATTCCATTTCTCTGGTGGGAATAATGGAGGACAGTAATGATATTTGTAAGAAACTGTTAAAAACTTTAAATAAGTTTGTTTTATTTTCTACCATGAGGTAAATATTGAGGCTTAAATAGAGCTTGAATTTATTTTTTACCATATAACCCACACTTCATGGTGTTCCATACATACATTGTCTTAGTAAGAGATACTAACAAAGAGGATTTGGAATAAAATTATTGAAAACTTTAAATATATATTTTTTTTTACCGAGGCGATTTTGTCTGTTGTTGGTTTTGCCCAGTAGGGGTGGGGTTTATGCCCAGTGGGGATTCTGTCCTGGGGGCTTTTGTCCAGGGGGTTTTTGTCCTAAGGGATTTTGTCCATATCTTATGCAAAAGCTTGGTCAAAGTGGTCAACATCTCTGCCTAGGAATGTACTGTATTCCCAATGAAGACAGGTATGGACACAGAACAGTAATATAACTAGAGCTAATTGTTTACATCATTATTGCAAGTCAGTGGATTAAGAAAAAAATCTGGAGCCAGTATATGCCTAGCACTTGCCAACAGAACCTGGCCACTGCCCATGCAGTGCCCTCGCTTGTGTAACCAACATTAGCTTTATAAATTGTTGCATAAACTTGTAATTACATACTATGATATTTGCTGTTATTAGCGAGAGAAAAACACTATTGGTGAATACAGCTTTTATGGTATTTATTTAATTTGTGTAGGATTGCTTTTTCTGTGAGACATGTCTGTGTTGGACAGCCCGGGAATGTATCCCATTGAAACCTAAGTTAGGTTAACAAGAAATTTTATATAAACACTTTTTTTACACATTTGCCCTAACTATGATAGTGTCCACTATAAAAGACATTGAATTGCAGCATTTTAAAATTCGCTTTCTATGAAAAATCAGCGACTGTGAAGTTGTAATTAATTACCCATGAAAATAACTAGTGCCAAATTAGACTTACTTTTCTTAATGCAGGAGTGACAAAAGGTGCAGCAATAACACTCAAGGCAACAGCAGCTCCACCAGTTAAGCCAATCAGTGCCAAACCTAATTTACGCCCACTGCTGCTACTGCTATTTTCGGACACCCTGGAAAACAAAAATAGTTTAACAGGAGTTGGCTAAGGATGCTTGCATGGAGGTAAATTTACTTTCTTTATGGTATGTGACAAAATCTCATTAGACGATCAATTATGTGAGATATACAGTAGTCACTAGGCTGTTGCAGTAATGTGGAACCACTTGTAGAGGTAAAAGTTAACATGGCCTACATTCCTAGAAAGGTTACAATGACCAACTGCCATTTAACTACAGTACAGTAACTACAGCAAAATATTTTGCATCACTGTAAATGTCAAAATTAGGCCATGATAATAATTTTCAGGTAGGTGATAAAGATGGATTATTAGATGATGCAGTTAATATTCATTTTTATCCCAATATATATTTCGGATTTTTTAGTTAGGAGTTCACAATAGTAGGTCAAGTTAGTAGTTGTAGCTTTTATACCAATTGGAAGGAAAAAGAATTTTACTAATGATGCAAGCATGGAAAATGGTCAAAGGTAAAAATTTGTTGGTATTATTGCGTTTACACACCGTTCATTCCTTCCACTAATCTATTATCATATTCGAATAAGACGTCTAATTATAAGATAATTTTCATCTATTACATTACCGGCGGAAATGTATAATAACGGAGATAGCTTTTCCCTCAAAAATTCTATTTTCTTCCATTAACCTCCCACCATTATCATCTGCCTCTCACCCTACACTGCGTGTCTCTCGCGTCTCCTTCATAAATCATGACGCGCATGCGTACCTGTACACATCATGCGGCCAATCAAAAGCGTTTTTGCTTTTGGAACCAATTAAAATGATTTTGGGTTTAATTCAGAGTATATTTGGCCCAATCAAAATCGAGTTTTATTTTGGGTATCTTATATTTTGAAATTCAAGTTCAGTTCCGACCATGGAAGTCTGCGATGGATGTCACTTAAAGTATATGGAGCTGATTGCGAGTTTTTGGAATAAAAATTTAGAAACTACAGCATTTTTTCGATCCCATGGTGTTCTTCCAACCTCAGTAAAGTGTACTAAGAGCAAGACTGAATGTAAATATTGCAAAGACCAACATATGTGGCGTTGTGTAAAAATCCCAGAATGCAACGACGAACAAGAACCAGGCTAATAAGATAAGAAAGAGGTGATTCCATCATATGGTGAGTCAGTTCGGTTAGGTGTTATTTTTCTAGTGTTTTTTTTTGTGTATTTTTTAGTCGCTTAGCCACTTTTTTTCGGAAATCAAACGAAAAAAAAAAAAAAAACGCTAATTTCCCCCAAAAATGAAGGTCATATTCGGTGTGACAATGCAAATTTACCAATTTGTTTTATCCCAAATTCCCCAATTGACATGAGATACTGTATATTATTCTTCTAGTGTATTTTGGTATTTTTTAATTCTGACATTCGTTTCTTGCGGATATTGGCCGTTTTTAATTTTTTCAATTTTATGAGGAATTGAGAACCCCGATGGGTCATTTCCACAAGAAATGACACCAAAATACACCAGGAAAAAAATTTCATACGAAAAGAGACCAGCCTTCTATTGCCCTGCATTTGCTCAGGAAATGCCATAGAAAAAATTCGATTCCTAACTAAGAACAAAATAATAAAAAATCCTATTGATAATGGTAAAAATCCGAAATACCTATTGAGATAAAAACGAATATTAACCTGGCTATAAAATGGTGTTGATGTAAGCAAGTTGTATTAGTGTAGTCAGATGGAGGTACTGTACTGTATGCGGTGTGAACCTGAAATCCTCTTTTACAATAAGCATGATTTAAGCTACTCTTACACACTGTCAACAAGGTTATATGTTTAAATCCAGGGATTCCAGGAACCTTCATTTGTGCAACTGGGGTTTTCCAGCTGTCTGTGGGTAAGCAGTCATGTCATTATCTAAACACCCTACAAGCTGCACCCCAATTAGGGTCTGACTAATTACCCAAATGTACCCAAATGTAGCCGCAATGAAGTCAAATAATGGTCCTACATGATTAAATCGGACTGCCAATCACTTCTCGACTAGTATTTGGTGTCACGAAGTCACAAAAAATTGGTAAACTTAATTTAATCTGAGTTAATAGATCGAGTGCATGTACCTAACCTAACCTAACCTCGACCTGCATTTGGTGTCACGAAGTCACAAAAAATTGGTAAACTTAATTTAATCTGAGTTAATAGATCGAGTGCATGTACCTAACCTAACCTAATACAACTCAGATTAAATTAAGTTTACCAATTTTTTTTGACTTTATGACACCAAATAATAATCGAGAAGTGATTAGCAGTCTGATTTATTCATGTAGGACCATTATTTGACTTCATTGCGACTACATTTGGGTACATTTGGGTAATTAGTCGGACCGCCAAAAGTATGCTTTAGTCGACTCAATTCCTCTTCACTGTCCAAACCTTCAGCATCCTCAGGTTATAAAATGGAATTTCAGATTCAATTACACATTTACTGTATACATGTATAAAAATGTACCAAGGAATACACATTGCTTCCAAATTGAAGGTTCCTTTAAAGACGGTAATTCTAACCAATTACCTTTAAATTTGTAATTCCTTCATTTTGACTGCCTTATATTTCCTTTCTAGAAATGCTAATAAATATCTTACTGATATTGTGCTCTTAACTCGGCCATTGAAGTTAATTGAAGCAGCCACAGGGAGCCGACAGTCCCGACACCAACATAAATACTAATGCCTTCTTGATGATCTTGAGTCATTATTCTTGACTACTTCTGAATTGAACTGAATCCCTACCCCCTGGCCCTTACTGAAATGACCGAGTTACATTAAATTGCTGTTAAATAATTGTATTGGTTAGGACTATTGTATATCTATAAAAAAAAACTAAACATTTTAACAAAGTGCACTGGTAACTACTAAAGCTATCCGGGTAGTAGAGTTACCGCCGCTGGTCGTTGAACCGAGCCTTGGGGGTCAGACTAATTACCCAAATGTACCCAAATGTAGCCGGAATGAAGTCAAATGATGGTCGTACAAGCGTAATTCGGGCTGTGAATCACTTCTCGATTATTATTTGGTGTAATAAAGTAAAAAAAAATTGGAAAACTTAGTTTAATCTGAGTTAATAGATCGAGTGCATGTACCTAATCTAACCTAACCTAACACAACACAACTCAGTAACGTAGTCTACGTAGATCCAATGGAAATTTGGAAAAATTAGGAAAATATTCCACTGACATGCTTAAATTATTTAATTTATTATATATATATATATATATATATATATATATATATATATATATATATATATATATATATATATATATATATATATATATATATATATATATATATATATATATATATATATATGCAAGTAAATCACTGTAGGTGCGCGTGATCTAGGTATATGCTGATAACCACAAGGAAACAAGAAAACACGAAGTTCCCAAGCGCTTTCGTGTAATTCACACCTTCAGGGGTGAGTACAGACTAAGGAAAAATACTTGACAAGGCTAATATATACAGTAGAGGAGAGTGAGATAAAGTCCATAGGGGATAGTAGGTGTCATAAGGCAGTGACCCTACTATATAATATATATATATATATATATATATATATATATATATATATATATATATATATATATATATATATATATATATATATATATATATATATATATATATATGAACATTGCATTTTAATCCCAATTAACAGTATCAAAGCAAACGTAAATTAAAAAGTATAATAGTTGATCATATAATAGCAAAACGTTCTTTATGATGCTGTACTCTTCATAGATAGCTCGTCAATCGGAGGCCACGAGGAAAAGCAGAGGTTATACGGAAGTTTGCTTTCCTTCCTCGTGTTCCTTGGGTGAGAGGTGTACCATTGGGGGGGGAGGGGGAGGGGAGAATGAAAACATTCCCAGAGTTAGTGGAGGTTGAGGGAAGTTATCGTCTTAATTCCTCTTTATACCTATAACTATTAATTGCCACGACTTGTAAAGGTTCACTTAGGTGACATCAAAGTCTATTAAACCCTCCCATGAGCGAGTAAAGTGGTTGAGAGGTGGAGAAGATGAGTAATATAGATACTCAGGTGAACACGAAGCTGGAGTGGGTGTTGAGGCGGCTGACTGGAGGGTGTGATCCTGGCCTCAAGCTTCACCAACAGACTGTAGAGGTGATCCTTACAGAGGTGGAGGACGACACTGTGCTTAATAAACTCCACACCAATATAGAATTCCTCCTCCACAAGAACGAGAATGGTGAGTGCTGTGAGGTCTTCCGTAACTTGTGTTCACGGTAATAGTGCAACAGACAGTTAGCTCCAGAAGCAGTTTATTCGATTTCGTTAATTTTTTTCCCACAGATTTTGTTTGGATGATAGTAAGTAATAAAAATAAAACGACAATACCTGTACACAGAACCTAATAGAATCTAACCTAACCGGTAATGATGCAGTTTACAGCACCCACAAGAATTCTGGAAATTCACTACACTCAATCGATAGAACTATTTTTTCTATGATAATTTTCTTATATACACTTCCATCACAAATTGATAATAATGAAGTTATTGAATTAAAAAAAAAGAATAAAATCGGAACACCTGATGCCCCTATGCTGTGGCTCAAATTGTGTGTTTTCATACGTTCGCTTACCTCCTGTGCATATACCGGGGAGCGGCCTCCAATCAAATCGGGAGTTGCTGCAGCCAATCAAATCTACTAAAAAATCTCAACTTTTGATATAACCAATTAGTGTTCAATTTTCGGCGTAGATGCCAGGATGCTGGACATTTTTAATCGGTTGCAACATGGAGCCATAACGCGTTGGGTGTGATTTCGGTTATTGGGAGTTTATCGTGTTATATTTCATTCTAAAAATAAGGAAACTTTAGACAACAGAGTAACCCACGACGTATTCTGGTCCCTGATTCAGACTCTGACCCTGACTTGGAGTAAGGTAAGAAATACTGTAACGGCTATTTATATTCTCGTGGAGGCTGACCACACGACTCCAGGGTTATTAGATAGCGTTTGGGGGCCCTGGGGCTAGGGTCACTGGGGGTCTGGGGGCAGAGCCCCTGGTAGGGGGTTAGGTAAGGTTTAGTTTGGTTATATTGTATAAGTTAGCAAGCACAGACTACCGGGAATTCAGAACATGCAATTGGTAGAACTATTATGTGGGGTGGGGAACTAAATCACAAATGAGTGATTTCCGAAAAAAAAGTTATTTGAATTATTGCATCAAAACCCACTAGAAAAACCACTTTTTTTTTCTTCAAATTCCATGGTTGCTGTAATATGCACATTTACCACCAAACCTAACCCAACCTAACCTAACCCAACCTACCTAACCTAACCCACCTAACCTAACCTAACCCAACCTAATCCAACCTAATCTAACCCAACCTAATCTAACCCAACCAAACCTAACCAAACTAAACTTACCTAACTAAACCAAACTGAAGTGGCTGTGTAATTTTACATCTTTGTGGCTGTAAGAGTATGATCAGTTGTTGCACTGAAACAAATTTTTTGTTCACTGTCAGTCATCTGCCTCACTTTGAACACTTGCACTTCCTGCCAACTAGTCCATGTTAACAGGTGAACTCTTACAGATGTTCTTCATCCTCCACGAGCACATAACTTGTGATACGATACTGAACACGACACCATAACAACGCCATTGAAAAACAAGATGGATAGCTTCTCCTTTCTCTTGGGGAAGAATAATAAGTATAGGAACATAAAATTCACGTAGAATCCAATGCTACTTGAAAGAAATTGGAAATGTATCCAAACCCATATTATTGGATTTGAATCCAACTGTATAGTCTCATCCTTTATACATAGAATAGGTTAAAAAAATTATATACAAAAAGAAAAGGTAAAATTATTGTTTCGATCATGCACCTATTTTCCGAAGGTCAGAATCGTTAAAAACACAACAATAACCATGAGAAAAACGTAATTGCAACCTAACCTAACCTACATTCCCTGCATGAGTGAAATGATAATACTGTAATACCAAAGAAAAAAAGGATTTGCACAAGCCATTAACATGAAAACCAGGAGTGTGAAACCTATAAAATTGAAAACAAAAGACAACCAAGCCAATACAGGGGGTATAGCATTTATGGCAATAAATCCCTGAGTGAGACTCTGTTGTTAGCTGTTTATGTTTACAAAAATAAGAATCACAAATTTATAGTTTTAAGAGCATATGTGAACATGCAGTGCCATGTGAGAATTCTTGGCGGAATATTTACTGTCAAAAATTATTTCTCCAGCTGTACAGTACGTACAGACATAAAATTACGATGTGCTCATTTTTTTCATGTTTTATCCTGTAAGTTCCCTCTTCTTCCTTGACCAGGATACAGAAAAACGAAAAATAAAATACAAGTAGTACTTAAAATTATAGGAAAAAGATACACCGTACTGTACAGTACTCGTATAATTTTTATGACTTACTACCTGTATCATCCAAACAACATTTGTGGAAAGAATGAACGAAATACAAGACCTCTTTCTGGTGTTACCCATCTCTTTTATTACCAGAATAATTGATTATCATCATATATAAAAAAAAAATTATAATTCTTGCTGCTGCTGCTACTGTAGTTTCTTAGTGGGTATGTAATGGAGTACAGTAGTGTTATTATTAAATTTTATGAAGCTTCGGATGATGTCGCAGCCTCCTGCTCATTTAAAGAAGAAAAACTAGGGACAAAGCCTGTAAACAAAGTGCTATTCTTTCATCTTATTTGCTTTATTCTTGAGGTAAGAAATAAGTTTCCATGTATGAATATTTTTCTTAGGTAGCTGATTAACCTGGAGTATTGTTAGTAGATGCCACCTATTATTTTTGGTTTGGTTAGGTAGGGTATGGAGAGATCACTGAGAAGCTTTTGTCAAAAGTTGGGGTACAATCTTGGCATCCTTAAACAGTACTGGTGACAGGTATGGTACTCATGAAAAACCAAATTAGTAGACTTTCAATTTCTCTGCCTGGTTTGGGATTGTCGTCACTCATGATAAGAAAGTTCTCTTCTATAGAAAATTTTCTAAGTTACTGATTAACCCAGACCCCTGATCCAGAGTACATGTACTGTACAATATTTCCATTGACAACAACCATGAGGTGATTACTTTGTTCATCTACACAATGTTCAGTACAAATTTGTTTATATGTGTACCACAGTGAGAAGTAGCCTTTCACTGGAGGCATTTCCTGGAGGTCTTCTGCACATAACCAAATGGAAACAACTACAGTACAGTACAGTACTGTATCACTGTAATATGATTTCAACACAAATGAACTGGAATGGTTTATTCTTTTTGAAATTAAACATATCATTTTGATGGTTGCTAGGTACAATTTTATTTTATTTTATTTTTTTTATCATTTTCGCCACTTATCAGCTTACTAGCCATTTGGGCGGACTATCCAGTCGTGAAATTTGGTGAATATATACAGTATGCCGAAGGGCTAAAACTTTTGGTGCGCTCTGTCTTGTGGTAGGGGGCTCTCATAATGTTTCATGAGTTATCTTTAATCTTCGGACAAAACCACAACATGACTTTTGTCTTTGATTGTACATGTACTGCAAAGTTAATGGGCTTTATTTATCTATTCTGTGATAACACAAAAAATACTATCGGGTACTGGTATTGCATCAGGAGTGAACATGTAGCATTGGTTTTAACTATTACGTGATATATAATGGTTGGGTGTAAACAGGAGCTACTTCACAAGTGGCAATAAGTGTATTGTGGGTTGCCTGCTTATT